TTTGCAGCTGTTTTTGTGTGGCTTTGCTTAAGCTAAAGGATGGCTGAATTCACATGTTTATCCTGGCTTTGGCTCTTCTGCCAAGTTTCCTATTTCCACTGGAGATGCTCCTGGAATTTCAGCTTGAACTCCCGAGTGTTGTCTGATATAAGAAGGGCTCAGCAATTTGTTAGTGTCCACTGGCACATATTCCCAAGAAAATGTTATCAGTATTTTTCTAATCTTGTGTGTTCCTTTTGAGAAATATTTCAGCTGAAACTGTTGCACTAAAAATCAAAAGTAAGTTTAAAATTGAGGTACAGGTCACCTCTATTTAATTTTTAACTATAATTTTACAAACATCTCAATACAATTAAGATGCTGCCAACATTTGCTAAAAAATGATTAATTTTTTTTTGCCTGTTTTTCTTCTTTTGCCTCTTTTTTTCCTTCCAGGGCGGAATTACTGCACTGCCACGAGCCTCCACTTAACCACTGACCAGAAAAGCAATTTAATTGGGGAGTTTAATTCTACCTCGTACACTCCAAGTGCAAATATTTATTTAAACACGTGGGTAACTCTAAACAGAGCCAGACAAGTGAAGAAAGCTACTTAGGTTAAAATATCTGCCAGATGAAGCTTTTAGGCTGTGTTTCCACCACACTCAGAGCGCTGTGTGGAAAAGCCCAAGCTGGAGCTGGTGGAAGACAAGCCAATTAAGGTTTGTCTTATGGGCTTTGCCACTGTAACCAGATTATTTCTGGGATTGCTGATTATGCTTTGTTTCTTAGCTGTTAACAGCTGGACAGGACTTAAATCTATCAGTTCCTAAAAAGCTACAACATTTAGAAGTTTGAGCTTATGAAGAGATGCATTAATGTGTCTATAAGTGCCACAATCATCTGCAGGCTGTGCCAATTCAATATGTATTGACTGATTGATCTAAATGCCCATAAATCTGTGCAGAGGAAGAACAAACCAAAACAATGCAGCCTGTGTGTAGGGAGGATTCATACCCAGCCCATTTTGCTAACTAGAACTTCAGTTTTAACAGTCACCTTGCAATTCTTCTCAATATTGATCTTGGCCACACTGAAGGCAAAGATTCTCACTGACTGCAGTGGGGTCAGGTTTGCACTCAGGTTTTGCTACTGTAAATCAATTACAACATTAAAATTCACTTGGGAGCCACTAACAATCCTATAAATTCTGGCCTTTTTCTCACTGGAGCTCAACTTTCAGAAGGAACAAAAGCTCGCTCTCCATTCCAGATATTTGAAGGCTCAGGAGGCTTTTCCCAAGCTGTTTAATGGCAGGTTGTTGAAGTCCCTCAAGTGCCACATCCAGAGATGTCTAACGGACTCAATTAGGACTACTGTCCCAGGAAAAGCTTCCTGCCATGAAAATGGACATTACTGGACTCTAAGTTGCATCTGCCAGATTCCTTGTTCTAAAAATACCTGAACAACTTTGTAGTTGAGTGGGACAGTTGCCAAGACTGGAAGTGTCTCAACTCCTAATTTGAAAGACTTGCTCCCTGTAAGAATCACAGAATGGTTTGGGCTGGAAGGCACCTTAAAAATCATCCAGTTCCACCCCTCTTCCACTTTCCACTATCCCAGGTTGCTCAGAGCCCCATCCAACCTGGCCTGGGACACTGCCAGGGATGGGGCAGCCACAGCTTCTCTGGGCAACCTGTGCCAGGGCCTGCCCACCCTCCCAGGGAAGGATTTCTCCCTGATATCCAATCTAAATCTGTCATTGTGAAGCCATTGCCCATGTCCTGTCACTCCAGCTCCTGACAGGTCATTCCAGCAGCACAAGCTCTGCTCAGCACTGTCCCACCTCCTTCCAGACTGATAAGGCTGAAGCTTCAAATTCTGTTTAGATAATCCATGGAAACCCCAAATCAACAGGTTTGCAGTGGGTTTGACTATCCAGTGACTGCCTGAGAAGGGAGCAGTTGCACACTGGGTCTAAGCAGGGAAACGATCCACTTGGAGGTATTTTCCCTTCAGGCTGCTGTCAGGAATCCTGAAACACCGGCAAAGCGACCACGATAAGAAAGCTTCCCAGAATTAGTAAATATTTGGGTTAAATGCAGCAAAGATGAAGAGAGAGAACAAACAGTCCGTGTTCCTGTGCTTTAGCCCAAAGGAACTGAGGGGAGCAGCATTCCACAAGCATCTTTGCTGGCAGCATGGCATAGAACTGGATTTGAGGTTATTTATACAGCTAACTGTCCTGACTGTCCTGTGTGTGTGTTCCTTTTTTAGGGGTGAAAAATGTGTATTTTCCCTGCAGCTCTCTCTGGAGTTGCACTCCATTTGATTTTTCTGTTTCTCTGTAAACTCCCACAGCACAGGAGCATTTCCCATGGCTCCCTAGCAAAGCAAATGGAAGAACCCTGCAATAACGACCTCTGATTCCTCAGATACATAACACATGTTTTTGCACTGCAAACTTCAAGTTCCTGACAGAACTTGGACACAAAATATATAAAAAAAATACCACAGGAAACTATATACATGGTCGTTTGGGAGTTTTTTCTTCTCCTCCCCCCCTTTTTCTTTTCTTTAAGAGATTTATCATGTCTTCAATGATAATAAAAACATTATCTGCTACTGCAACTGTTTTTGCAGGAAAAATAAAGAGTATTCTTAAAGATCTGGTAAATCAAAATTAATTGTATAAATCAAAGTTTTCTGCTCACCTTACAGCCCCTTCTAGAAAAACAAGTATATACTTCTTTGTTACCCATGAACATTAACCAGGGAGCCCATTAATTACGTGACTTTCCCACGTGCCCAAGTTCCCTGAGTGTTCTGGGGCACGTCAGTGATGTTGGGTCACGTACACTTGGAATCTGCAAATTCCAGGGAAGAAAAAACTCACCTCCCAGACAGGTTCAGTACCGTGAGAGCAGCAGCCGGGGGAGAGCGTGGCCACAAAACTCCTTGTGATTTCCAAAGACTGCTGTGATTATTTGCAGAGGTTTTGACATGAAAACAAATGAAGGATTAAAAAAAAAGTATGTGAACTTATCCTTTAATAGATCAGGCAGCAGTTCCACAGGCCCAGAGGATGTGCACCAGTAAAACTGGCTGCTCCCCAAGGATGTATTTCCCCAGCTCATTCACCACTCCACTTGGGTTTTCTCCTGCATCTGCTACTCTGAAACATCATTTTGTATCTTTTAACCTGCAGGTTCCTATAACCTCAAGCATCTGGTAACATTCTGAAAGGAATTCTCTCCTGTTCTCCTGTCAACACAGGAACTGGTTGGCCAAATAATCAGCTGCTTGTGTCAGAACTCATCTCCCATCGAGATTTTTTTTAATCTTTGATTCCTTCTGTCCTCGGTAACAAGTCTCAGGTCCAACCCTGATAACTGAGCAGGCTTTAAGAGCCTGTTGACACCTGCTTTATCACTCACCACACCTTCCTGCCACACCATTCCCTAAGGATGGCTTCCATGTGCTCAGCAGCCTCTCCCAGGTCCAGCCTGCAGGCACCTCCTCTCCAGAGCCAGCCCGACTAAACTGCAACACCCGGGGGTTTAGTTCCTAAAAAATGCACAGCAGTTGGGCTCACAAGGGTACCCTGGCTGGGGAATTCCTCACTGAGCTACCAAAATCCACATTAGTTCAGTCTTCCCATGTATATTTTTAGGGAAGTAGCCTGAGATCTGACAGGAGAAGCATCTGGTATTTCAGGATTAGATAAAAGTGTTAGCAGAGTAACAGCAGTGCATCAAAATAACATTTATTGACCTGCTTTAAGCACATCCTCTGATCACCTGTAACCAAAGAACACACTGTCCATGTCTTACCAGAACTGTGTTGGTATACAAACAGAAATAAGCAGACTAGCTCAGCTGTATTCCAAAATACCTATTCACTTCACCATAAATATTTACAAAGGGACACTTTTTCTTGTAAAGGTCTCTCTGAGCCAGAAAAATTCACAAAGAGCAAAGGGAGAATGGAGGAAATGAATCCAGAGCCACAATGTTGATCATTGACTGCAAAAGGAAGTTACAGTTGTGGTTTTATTTTTTCAGGGAAAGCCGGGAATCCCAAAATAACGGTTTGACTAAAGACACTTCCATAAATCTTGTCAAAAAACTAATATGCTCCTTCAGTAACAACAGCTGCCCTATTTTCAAACTAATCCAGTTAAAAAAACCCCTATGTAAAGTCTGTATAACTTTAAGTTATTTAAGTAGTCACTTACCTATTAACTACTGTATTTCTTGCTTTATTTCGCATTTGTTTTTAGTATAGAAAAAAAAAAATGCATTTCACAATGGCAAAACCTGATATTCTCAAATTTCCTTTATGCCAATAGATTTCGCTCAGTTCTTAGAAAGTGCTTGTTTCTTTTTCTCACTTAGCCCAAAATTCATTTTGTGTGAAAAACACAAAAACAAAAACAAAAAACAAACAGAAAAGTTCATTTGAATAAAGCCAGAGAACTGATCATTTTGGCCCCAGGTCTGTTAAAAAAAAAAAAAAAAAAAAAAGTAAAATCAACCCAACAAATCTGGACATCACAAAAAAACAATTCCTCCTGTGCCAAAAAAAGTCATATCTATAAGATATAAAGCTGCTCTGTCAAGCAACAGGGAGCCAGTTCAAGTGGTGGTTAACCCAGCAGGACAAGGGGGACATCTAGTGTTTACCACATCCATGTGCTCCCAAAAATCCCTGGAACAGGCTGTCCTGGGGTGTAAATGCCATGGAGCTCGTGGTGGTACCTGGGTTTCAATGTCTCTGCTAAAAGGTGCACAGCTCAAATATCTCCAAACGCTTTTCTTTCGTGACCTGAATGTAAAAAAAAAACAACTAAGAAAACAGGAAAAAACTCTGATAAAATTTGTCTAAGCCTTTAAAAGCAGAGATCAAAAGCTCCTCCTCATCTATTAATGCTCTGTTGTTCTGATCAGAGCTGTAAAGTGCCCCGTTCCTGAGTCACTGGCTGTAAGTGGGATCCCCCCTTGCAAAGCTGCCCCAAAGGCTCCTCCTGCATGGCCCTGACTGCAGACAGGGCTGTATTACAGGGGTTTGCTGAAGTCACAGACTCAAGCAACAGAAAGTTCTCCTTATCTTCAAAAACATAACAGAAGAGGCTTTAGAATTTAACATTTCTCTCACTAACAGACAGTGCAAGGCTCACCCTGGAGCCAAGACAGTCTGCCCAGAGTTCCTCTAGTTAGGAAATGACCTGGGACAAGAGCAAAGTGCTTTATGACAGTTACAGCACTGTCTGTCTCAGGTTCTCTGCACTCACAATGCATTAAAAACAATACCAAATAGTAATTTAAAAGTTTGGTGCTCTTTTTCTCATACCCTTCTCGCCTTGGTTACTGGGAAAATGACTGTTTTTCTCAAACCATTCTCTCCTCTTTGTTCTGGGGATCCAACTCCAACCTTTGTTCCCAGATCTGTATTCTTTATTTTCACTTTTGACTGCAAAAACTGCCCTGCTGAGAAGGGCAAGGAATCACAAACTGCATCACTGGAGAATCACAACACCTTATTTTACAACTCTAGTGTGTGCAAATCATCATTTCCATGAAATTTAATAGTTACAAATATCTTCAAACCATACAAGTACAGTAGGTTCTACAGAAGGTAACACGGATAACCAGTATTCTACAGCTTGAAACGAACCCAATAAATAAAAGTTTGAGTATTAAAACTAAGAAATAAAGTCTTCCTGTACATTGTACAGTACCTTTTGGTTAAAGCTTCTTAGCAAAAATATACTAATGTGCTCTAAGCATTCCAGTTACAGGTGGTTCAATATTAAAATTTCAAGGTTTCCTCATCTTGAGAAAAAACAAAATATTGCATTTTCCAGAGGTGCAGCAGAAGTTGTGTCTCTCTGAACAAGGCTTCAGTTTTTAAAAATATATATATATATATATATATATATATATAGACAGTAAGTTCGAATCCAACTGAGACATTAAAAAAACCTACAATACAGTACTGAGGATGTGTGGTTGTTGTGCATTACGGGTTTTACATTCCTTCTCATCCCGAAAAAGCAGCTCTAGAGAGCCCACTGGATATCACTGAGGTCAGCTGGGTCCCCAAGGCCTCCATCAGCCTCCAGGTAATTCATGAGAGCTGTCATGGCAGTGTCATCATTTTCACATATTGCATCAAAGTCCAGCTGGGAATTCCCACCTGGAAAAGGGATTTAAACATCAGCAGCAGGAAGCACCAAGAACTTCCAAAACATACCTGGTTTTAAACAGCACCTAAACTGGCCTCCCTTTAGTCTAAAACCAATGAACCCTGTTCCTGACGCCGGGTGGGGTTTGTACAAACTTAACAAGGAGAAATGAAATAAAAGCTCCCCAAATCTCCCCAGGGAAATCAATCTTACTGAGGAGAGGCTCGTTGCTGGGAAATGGAGTAGCACCCCGGGGTTGTTCGGAATTCTCCAGAACTTCTGTCTCTGAAGGACATAACTGGATCAGCTCTTTATTTGGCACCTGGAAGAACACAAGGAGTGCAAAGGACTGAATTAAATCCTGAATTTAGTCTCAGTTATTACATGGCAGGAACACTGTCAGGTTACAAAGAGCTGAATAGAGGAAGTGAAAAACAGGCAGATATTCTGCATTTAGGAATAACTTCCACATCCACCATAAACTACTAACTCCCAGTGACTGGTTTGTCAACATCGAAACATTCCAGCTAAAAGATGAACAAAACCCCAGCTCATACCTACCATGTTCTGTGTGCATTAAACCACATTAATCATAGCAACACTTGAGATGAAAATCATCCTAACCCAAACAAATCAGAAAAAAAAAAAATAGTACTTTTTACTTCCTCCCCCCATTTTTCTAATGTAACACCACAATGAGATTTAGCAGGAGAGCTTCTTGGATTGCTTGACTTCCACCGGGGAATTAACAGAGTTGAAGGGCTTTCCAGAAGTATTCTGGGAACAAATGGGACACCAAAGCCCAGGATAAAGCAAACCCCTCAATGAATACAGTGGAGTCATCCTCATGAGGAGATGCTGCATGATTTGGAGTTCAGTGTGTACAAATTAGCTAACGTTTGGCAGAGCAATCTGTGGTAACACAGGGGACAACTTAAACAAGAAAGGGGAGGAAGCCAAAACAATCCAGAGCAGAGTTGTTAGGAAATGAAAACTGCAAAGGGACGATAAACTGTCTTTAAATGGAAGGACATGTACCTTCCAAAAGTGCTGATGGAGAGGTAAATGTTGATTCACACAGTGCACACAATACAACAGACAATACAGTTAGGTTAAAAAATATGTTAATTGTTCCATAGCTATGGTTACTAAGTACAATAAAGTTATTAGTGTGTGCAGCACCACAAAATTAGCAAAACAGCATCGTCCTATCCATTTTTAGACAGCTGAAACACCTTCAAAGTCACAATTTTAAACATTTCCAAACAGCACAGTTTTTTTTTTAAAGGGTCTTCAAGAACATTAAGACTAAAACTACAAGGGACAGAAAGGCAGCACTGCTATTCAGGCTGTCAGACTGAGCAGGTGACTGATGTTAAGCCCAGGTTTCAGGTTCTGTCAGGCAGTTCCATACTCACATCGCTGCAGTTCACAGGCAGAGCTGGAGAAGGGGACTTTCTCAGGAGGTGTGATGGGCTCAGCTCCCCTGATGGTGAGGAATGCAACCTAAAATACATGCACTGAGTTGATTTACCAGGTCCCATCAATCAAAGTCCTTGTGTTGCAGAAGCCAGCAGAGCTCCCCAGTGGTGAAGCTCTGCTCAGGTAACTGGAAACAAGCAGGTCTTAAATTCTGACTGAAGTGCAGATAACTGATGGGATGATGTTTCCACCATCCTAAATTTGACCATAACAAGACCTTAACCTTCTGATGAAGCCTCAGTTCCTGGAAGAGTTGTCCTGGAGACAGGTTTGCATTCAGGGACAACACAGGCTATGGAAATGTTCCACTGGGAAGTGTTTCAAGGCAAGTTTTCCTACCAGAAAAAACCCTAACACGACTCACAGGAAACTCACTTCCCCTTCCCAAGTGGTTTATCTACCCACTTCATCACCACGCGAAGCAGCTGCACCACAGTAACGCTTTGCCAAGCCCCGTCAAATAATCCTCTCCTCAAAGAAAATGGCACTGCCAGAACAAAACTATTTACCCCCAGCAGGGGTGTGTTCTGCCACTGGTCCGTTCCATCAGAACTGCTACCTCCCAGTGCCACTGCTCAGCCCCCAAATGTTGGATGCACCTCATGAAAATGGAACCTGGGCAACCCCCACAGAGCACATAAACCTCTTCCCCCCCAGTGACGGTGCTGAGCCTTTCTTACCTTTGCAACTCCAATATTTCATTTGCAATTTCGGTTCCTATGCTCCCAGCACCGAGGACTGTTCCAGAGGACATTCCAGGTACACTTACTAAAGACTGTTTCACAGCATCTGGAGATTAAAAAACCAAACAAACAACACTTTAAATCTGTAGCAGTTTAATTGCACAGCAAGGGTTCATTTTAAAGCGGGTTTGGTTCTGTATCTCTTATTTTCAGAAATTAAATTCTTGAGAATTGGTGGGGGAGGGTGTGGTGAGCCTCATATGCAATATAAAGGCAAGTGAGTTTGTGGAAGCTGTTGCTCTCCAGTAGTGAAATTGGCTTTAATCACTGCCACCTCCAGTCTCTCTCACAGACAATGCAAAGCACAGGAGGGAGAAAAACCCTTTGATTTGTGCCAGAAATTATTAACAAAATGTGTATCTATGCGTACTGCCCTGTATTCACCACGTGAACTCAGAGCACAACTACACTTCCTTAGAAGAGTGGCTAAAATATGAATAGATTCTGTGCCAGAAGCATAATATCCTATCAAACAAAATTCTTGCTACAACAGAGGCTGCTAAAATTACAAATATGCTGCTGTTTACAGTTCTGTGAATGACATGAATTAGGATGCTGTAAGTAGCTAAGAAACTGTCACCAGAATTAGCTTTAAAAAAAAAATTAATTCTTCCTTGCACACAGTCTGGAGTAAAAACAGTCCTGGAGGGAATAAATCTGGAGTGAGTGCTCAGGGGAAGCATCTCTGGTAACTATAAGAAGCAACACTTGCCTTCTGCAGGCTGGGAACTGTAGAGAACCTCTTCTTCAGCTGACTCCTTGTGACCTCTGAGATTCAAATATATTAAAAAAATAAACCACAAAAACAATCAGCTCATTTTTCAAGGGCAAAATCCAGCATGTTCATGTTTGATGTCAAAATTACCCCACACAGAATAAAAACTGACATCCTCAAACCAGTAAAAAGGAGAGATTCCCCCCCAGGTTTCGATGTTCAATCCTCTGCACTGGTTCTGGGTGAATTGTTCATTCCCACTTATCCTCCAGATCAAAAAGAAAGCCAAGATGGCTGTCTGTGTTCCGTGGCAAGAGAACAAGGCTGTGAACTGAATGCTCTGAGGGAGGGCAGGTAACCAGGAACAAGTGCTACAAGGACAGGTCAGTGGCTGCCTCCCTTCTGTTCATTTGAATTCCATTAAAATCCTCCCTGTCCCCCAGCATCACTGGAACAATCCAAATTATTGCTCCATTGCAAGGAGAATGAAAAAGAAAAATGAAAAGTAAAAAAAGAAGAATTGAACACATCTATTTACTGTCCCACAGGCTGTCACTTTGGAGAGTATCCACCAATTATTCTTCTCCACCTCCTGACACCTGGTAGGTGGGGGAGCCCTTAAAATTGGGTCAACTGACACATGAAGTCTTGTAAAGGCAAGGAGGAAAAGCAGAATTAACTTGACATGTCCATTTACTTGTATCTCCCTTTCTTAAAAGATCCTTCCTTTCCCTCCTCTAAGAAGAAATCCTTCCCCTTCATTTTTTCCCACCAGGAAACAGCACAGTTTTCAAACTCAAACCCCTGACCTAGGGTTGAAATAAAAACAGCTGGTAAAGGCCAAAAAAAAGGGTTGTCCAAGCTCCTCAGCCCCTTTTGGTGTTGACATTTTCCAGCCTTGCCCTGCTTCTTAAACAGGCTGCTTTCTGCTCAATGCTAATTGTAATTAAGACAAAAAAACAAAACATGGAGATTGCTGGGAATTACTTACAATACCACAGTGTTGTTTGACACAATGTACTCCAGCTCTTTGGTCCATGGATTCATGAAACTAAACCACTGACTCTTCAAAGTGACAAAAGTGCCATCTTTTGCTCTAAATTTGTAGGAATTTGTAAAGACTTTTTCTTTATTCTGCAGCACTAGATAAGAAAGGAAAGTTATAATCACCATCTTTACGCCTAGGAAGGTGAAGTTAAAAAGCAAGCCATCAGGAGGGAGGCTCAGGACTCGGTGGAGTTCCATAAGGAGTGTTTGAATGGTGTTATTTTGTACCTTCTTTATGTTTTTCAGCTAGATGGTTGTGATCATCCTGGTGGCAGTACTCGTAACAAGAAGTTCCCAGAAGCTCTTGGGGCAGATACCCTAAAATTGCTGTGGCACTATGAGAAACAGAAACATGAACTCCAGAGGATTCAAACAACTGCAAAGCTGGGGGGTTTTTTTCCACGATCAGGCAAAGCAAAAATTGATATTTAAAGAAGCAGTGTTTGGAGAAAGGAAGAAAGCACTAGTACAGCCCTGAATGAACAGTGCACTGCGAGTTTCCATTTGCAATCAATGGCAATTCAAAGACAAAACTCCCAGTGTTTAGACAAGCAAACCATATGTTCACACGAAATACTTGTGGTGATTAGGTCATAATTAGCCAGACACACAAAAGGAGTCATTAAAAAGCTCAGGATTGTCCAAGGAATAGGGTTGAACTGACACTTGCAGGTGAAGGAACAGATGAGTGAAAGCAGCACAGTCCCCAGGGGCAACGATGAAATTCAAAATGCAAAGCCTAACACCACAAATAAAATATACTCAGTCTACATAAAAAATAAAAAGCTGGTTCAGAAAGTTCAGAGAAGGGGAACTTCTTAGCTTTCGTTTCTAATGAAATAATTTGGTACCTCACTCAGACCTATTTGTCCCAAATAGTAGGATTTTAAGAATAACTTCTGGTTAAATGTCTTTAGTCACAGGCAGAGCTCTAAAGCTCTAACTTGAGATTTTCCTTTAAGAATAAGTAAGTATATGAGTGCATTTATAACACATTTCTGTGGAACAATACACTTTTATACATTAAGTTTTATGTTTGGGAAAAAACAAACAAACTAACAAACAAGAGCCCAAGAGTTCATGGATTCAGACTGAAATATTTCCAGCGGGGAAAAAAAAATTCTGAAATTTTTTTTAGAATTCTAATTAGAAATTCTGGCAGAAAATTTAATTAGTGGTGTCATTGGCATTTTGTCTCCACACAGAACAAAACACTCACCGCTGATCTACATAAACAAACTTGCCATCCATGGCAAACCGTGTAACAAATTCTGTTGCTTTGACTTTTATCTCTCCACTCTTCTGGGGAACAATGTAAGGGTGTAACCTCCCGATTGCAACAAGGCAGTTAAAGTTACTACTGTCCTTTTCTACATCGTTCTCCTCTTCTACCCCCACCTCATTGGGAGGCCAGTTCTTCAGGTACCCAGTGCAGTGAATGGTGCAGTATTTCCTGTGATCTGAAACAAAGAGACGAAGTGAGGAGCAGTTATGGTTCAAAAAGGAAACCAAACTACTTTTTTATTAGTTTTTTTTTACTCTATTGGCCATGAGACCAGCAACTACATCTTAGTTTTACCTACAAGGCTATAGATAATTTTACAGAGTGGTTTTAAATTGATTTGGTACTACTTGATTTTGGCTTACCTGGAGAGAGTGCTTCTAACCCCCTACGTGAGATTTAGGAAGAGAAGTTATAGGTGTTGGCAGTTCAAACACAGTGGCACAATAATAATAATAACAATTAAAAAAAAAAAAAAAAAGCAAACCAACAGTCTGGCAACCCATAGCTCCCTTTGCCCTTGTGTGGTTTCATATGGATTATAAATTAAAACTAACTGGAAAGGCCCTCTGCAGCCTCCAAATCAATCTACTCTTTGTGAACACAATGATTTTAACACATCCTCGCTGCAACTGCTCCAAGAAGCAGTTGTGAACAACCCAAAACAATCCAGGTTGTTCTCTGTTTGCCTGAGGCTTCTGAATTCCACCATTTTCTGGGAACACAAATATTTTAAATGTCTTAAAATCACAGCACATTTGCCACCTACATAACATGCAAACAGCCTCATGTGCATCAAGGCACAGAGATGATTTTATGTGTCCTACAGGAACTGCCTTCCCCCAAAAATGCCAAAGCACTTCTGATATCCCTGTGCTTTCCATAGGTTTGATTTCCTCTCAACACTTATCAACTCCATAAAATGAGAAACTGAGTTATCCCACTGGGACTTTGTCCCAGTTTCTCAGGTGCCTTCCCAACAGTTATCCAACTATTAAATTCTTATCTTACCCAGTTATTTGACACATCAAGGGATCAACCAGATTCTATTTTACTTACAATTATGGGCCTCTTAAATTTTACAGCTGTGGGGTGTATCTCAACAGTAACAGGTTACTTTGAAAAAAAAGAGAAGTTGGAGGGTTGTTTTTTCAGGATCAACCAGTCTCAGCACATCTTTGCAAAAATCAAGACTGAGGTATTAAACAAAAGCTGGAAATTACACTTTAAAAATGGAAATTTTCACTGAAAATCTGACAAGAGTAGATTACTGTACAGGCATACATAGCAGAATATGAGCTACATTAAAATCCTTGGAAAAATGAATGGGATCACACTGATAAAATAACTTTACAATGAAAAGGGGGGAAAAAAGGAAAAACTCAGACTTTCAAATACACACAACACAAAATCAGAAAAAAAAAGTTGGTTTACTTGCTTTTTTTTTTCCTTCAAAATAGCAGAGTCTGCAGGCCTTATTCACTCAGTTATCTTCAAGACAAAGTTATTTAGTCTCATTCTTCTCATCTGCTCCAGTTCTTTCAAGTATTTCCCTGAGCCCTCTAAAATTTGACCACAACACACGCTCCTAAACAGCCACTGTAGCTCCCTCCCTGTTTTCCAGGAGGGAACAGGGAGCAGAAAGGCTACAAAGAGACTGTTTGTCCAACTTCCACTTCTCTCCAGCTGCTCTATGAGATCAGCCAGAGCTACACGAGGGTCACGGCAGCCACCGGCAATTTAAACTCGGAATTTACATTTCAAGCTGAAAAGCACCCCCTCCTTGATCTACACTGCTTGAATACCTTTCTTCTTTGGGTTGGGCAAACACTCCTTCTCTTCCTTCACCGTGCTCCTGCTGCACTTGATCCGACAGAAGAAGGAACGGCGAGCCCCGGAATTCAGCCGAGCCGGTCCAGCCTGGAAATCTGTGTGGACTTGCAAGCCAGCTTACAAAAATCCAGTAAAGCAGTCAAAAAAAGCCCAAAATCACACAGTGGAACTTCCCAAAACATGGAGCTTCTAGTATTGCATTTCCCTAATTAAATCCTGGCCTCACCACGAAATAAGTCTAAGCTTAAATAATAAATTAAACGCGGCTGCCCCACAGATTCCAGAATGAAAAACAAACAAATAACAACCAGCTACCAAACTATTTTTTAAACCCCTCCTGATATTCTGAGCGGTATTTTAAGAAACTTTCATTCAGTTTGGTTTTTTGGCCCAAGGATGCCTGTAAAAGCCAGCTCTAAACTAGCCCTGAGCTGCACAGTACGTAAGGCTTCCCACATGAGAAATAAGTGTGAGCAGAGGGAGGGTTGGTGACAGTGGGATTGACACTTAGCATTTTCAGAGCAGACAGGGATTCTTGACAGTGCAGTATTTTATCCCATCAGGGCTTTTGTATTGACAAGACCTAGCAAATACAAGAAAAAAAAGTAGTATTCCTGGTAGGAAGAAGGTCAGAGCACAGCTTGGTAAATGTTCAAACAGTGCAAATCTCAGTCAGTCATTCTTATGATCTAAAATCAGCTCCTTTCTGGGCTAACTTTGAACTGCAAAATGCATTCCGAGCAGCAGATACACATTCAAATGGGTCACAAGGACACCCAGGCACATCAAAATACAGCCCTCTATCCTGGATAATAACTGGATTTACTGACATCTCTTCAAAAACAATCTGAGTTCAAGTGGGACTTACTTTTGCCATCCACGAGCTTCTCCCGAGGGGAGATGTCCGAGGAAGAAAGCTGCTCCTTGACTTTTGCGACATCCTTCGGATGCAAATAATCAAACAGGCTCTGCCCAATTAAACTGGCCTGTTTGAAAAACAAAACAAATCCCACGGGAGATGAGAACCACACCCACGTGTTGCTATTGAAAAGGATAGCTTTGCTTTAAAAAAAAAAAACTAAAAAAAGAAAAGTAAATCACTTGACTGTGTAAAAGAAAATCTCTTGCACCCCAGAAATTAGGACATCTTCCAATTATCCTCTCAGAGCAGCAGTTTTCTTCAGGGGGAGCTGAAATCTGGGGCTGTTACTCAGGTCAGGAACACTGAGTGTACCTGCAAATATTTTATTACAGGATATCCAGCCTTACTCTGAAGCAGCTTTAAAGAAATTCCAAGAAATGATGACACAAGGTCTGGTTTAAACCCAAAGAAAGTCCAAAAAATGGTATAAATAAGAAAAATGTACAAGTTTTTCAAATTTCTCAGAAAATGCAAGGTTAAAAGCAAGCAAGAAACTCAACTATAACCAACCTGATCATAATTCAGTATTTTGCAAACTGATTCAGAGACAAACAGGATTTTCCCTCTGTTGCATCCAACCACAAACAGGAATCCATCTGCAGCCTGGAAATATAGAGATATTGTCTTTAAAAACATGCCATTAAAACATCCAGTGAATATTCATTACTACAAGAAAGCACACTTTCTAAACCTGCTTTTTAAAATTGAATACAAGGAAGATGGAGAGGGATTACTTACAAGGGACAGGACATGGGGAATGGCTTCAAACTGACAGGGAGCAGGTTGAAATCGGATATTGGGAAGAAATTCTTCCCTGGGAGGGTGGGGAGGCCCTGGCACAGGTTGCCCAGAGAATTCCCAGCTTCATTTGGGAGTCATTTACAGAGCTGGGCAAAAAGTTTGTTACAAAAACTGAAGTTAATAAGGACATCATTCACCTGAGAGTGTCCTTCCACTTACCCTCAGGATTAACTGTCTGAGTTCATCATCCTTTAAAAATGAAGGTTTGTATCTGACTTCTGTATAGGAGCTGCTGGAACCTGGAAAGTGGGTTAATCAGACATGATGTCAGACGTCACATTTGAAATTCACTTTCAAAGGAGTCATACTTAGTATATATTTTGTATTTTTTGCTCTGTGACCAGAGCAGCTGAATTAAAAAAAAATAAATATTTAACAGTTCTAGGAATTCTAAAAATAAATAAAAAAAACCTCAAACACACAAGCACATAACTATTTTTTATTGTCAACAATTTTTTACTAATTGTAGTTAAACTGAATGTCTCACTAAATGTAATGACTGACTCACTGCATGTGCTGTTCTAGCACCCATGGCAAGCACTCTAAAATAAAGGATTTTTTTCCATTACAAGCATGTCTATAAGTTTCTAGATACTTTTTGAGGTAAACAGCAGTTGAACCTTCCAGCACATTTCATCATTCACTATGATTCCACAGAACATCTTGTGCTTCTTAAAGCATTTGTTTTGAGGAGATATATATATAGAGAGATATATAGATATATATATAAACATAAAACTGTGCTGGGTTAAGCCCAGTTTTCACATCCTGTTGGTAAAATATAAGTGTTTGAGCTGAAGGTTTCTTGAAGATGGTTGTTTATAAACTGCAAACCCCCAAAATCTTGTGTGCTGCTGACAGACTGTACGATGTGCAACTTGTGTTTGGAGATGACTTTTTTAGGGGAGGAAAAAAAAAAATCAATCCCAAACCCCAGCAATTATCAAAAGAAGAGGAAAGAATATTTCCCAGGTTGATCCTGACACTAAACATTCCCTGAGATCCATGATTACTTTCGCTTTGCCAGCTGACTGAGTTTATAACTCTTTTTCTGGGTACTCTCTAACACGTAATTTTTAAGATTTTAATGTTATCAAAGTCATCAATTGTTTTGTTAAAGTATGTTTTGTCTTGCAACTTTTCTTTCGACTCCTGGACTTTTTAAAAAGAACCAAGGAGTGACTTGGCTGCAAGACAGAAAATATCAGATACTGAAGGGTGGCTTTTTTTCTGCTGTACTAAGCAAAAAGAAGAACTCAAGTTCTGGAAGATACAGATGGAGATTTAAATGAGGAACAGCCCCAGAACTAAATACAGTAAGGAAATGCAAAATGAGTTATCCTTGGTTTATCTGAGACCAAAGAAGACACACGGTGTAGCCCCTGTTAGAACAAGGATTAAGTTCTCTAAACCCCACCTTTCAAAGCCTTCAAGTGCTGCACAGCCATCCTTAACACCGTGAGCTTGTCCAGCTTCCTGGCCATGGGGTTGCACTGAGGGATCATGGCAGACAGTTCCTCGATCAGATTATTCATTTTGTCTCTCCTCCTTTTCTCTGTTTGACTGTGAGCCTCTCTGAGAAGAAAAAATATTTTTAAAAGAGAGATGTAGAACACATGTTTCTTTTTTTTTACCCCTCCATAACATTCAGCAGTTCAGTTCTGGCAATGGAACACACCCCACGAGTGCTACTGCACTGAAACAATTTTCATACACTGGGACAGCTGAGTGGGATTCACCTGAACAAATGAAATGGTCCCAATAATGACGGGAAAAACTGAGGAGGAAAAACACTCTCAAGGAACAGTTTGATTATATGTGGTCATGAAGACTTATAAAAGTTAAATCATTCTTGTGTCCTTTGACTTCCAAGTGATTACTTGGACACCCTACAGAGGAAAACTCTGGATGTCCTTTAGGAATCCCTGGGAAACATTTCTGTTCCTCATCTCTGGAACCGTGGAACTAGGATGGGGTGTTCATTCTGCCCTTTTCCTTTTCAGAAACAGTGTCCCAGCACAGGCTAAAGCCTCTCTGAAATCTCTTTTATGCAACTCTCAACAAGCAGAAATAAGCAGTGTCTTCCTGTTAACTCAGTCCCTCAAACCCCTCAGGTTGAAGCAGAAACACCACCATTTGCTCCCACACTTTTCCTTGGGATTTTAAGGGATGTAGTGGGAACTGAAAGAAAAAGCTGTGCCTTGTGTCATTTACCACAATAACTCAGAAAACGTCCCCTTTTCCTGGTCAGGTGAGAAAGAACAAAGTGCAGTTTTAAAGACCTTGTTATCTGTTATTTTTACTACTTCCTTCCAAAAAAAAAAAAAAACACCTCCACCACACAACTGATTCTGGGTCACTCTGCCAGGAAATCAGCTTCTCTCCCTCTAAAGCCTTTCTAAAAGCATTTTAATTGGAGGAGTTATGCTCAGCTTTAGAGGTTCACCCGACTCTTCCCTCGCTGTAGGAACAGTCAGGTACAATACTGTGTCTGCTCCTTGACCTGTGGACCTCGGGAAGAGGGACACAGTCATTCCAGGAAAGGGAGCGACCTTCCCCATCTCCAAGGGTCAATAAGAAGTTATAAAAAAATCAAGGTGGGTGCAGAAATTCAGGAGGTGACTGGATGACTCAAAAAGCCTTGTGTTACATTTCCAGGTGTAAAGGGGAAGGGAGAAAAGCTGAAGGGAAAAAAAAAAACCACTGGAAGAACTCAACGGGGGAGAAAAGCTCAGAGAGTCTTCTATTTTTTCCCCCCAGCTAATGAACCAAAACTCAAGGAAACAAAATGAACAATACAACACAATCTTTTACAGCAATCTGGGATACTTTGTGGAGACAAATTCATTCTGGAAAACACAACTGTGAATATATCTTGGGCCATTTTAGTTTCATTGGTTTTGTTTAGATTACGGGGACACTTCACAATTATTAGCTAGCACACTGTATAAATAACACCTCTGACAGCATGCTGAGTGGATTATGGATTTCTGGTTTGATATCTCTGCTCCCATGAAAAATGAAAGACATTTTTCAAATCAATTTTATAGAACAGCTCTGGTTTTACAAAGTGGCTTGTCTGCAGCTGAAAATATCTGCCTGAATTGGGGCTGCATCTTACAAGTGAATCTCAGCTGCTGTGAATTCCAAGTTCAGTGGCAAACCTTGAATAATTCCCTACACAAAAACTTGTGACAGGATGAGAATTCTCTGTTGTGCTTTAGCTGAATCCATTTCTGTGTGGGATAAATTTTAAATATCTGCAGGTGTGGACAAATCCAGAAAAAACAGTTCTCAAATTCACCCCAATGAAGCATCAGTTCCTCCCTTTAAAGATGACTTGAGTGTTCTGCATTTCATTTTCACCTGGAAAATTTTATTCTCCTGTTTTTGCTAAGCCATCTGAGATATTCTGCAGCAACTTTTATTAAAATTAGTAAAAAATTCCTACACATTTAAGCAGGGAAAGGGAAAAGTATACAGTTAAATATTTGAGAGGTTTCACAAACTCATATTTCACTATTATTTACTAGCAAAACATATTTCTGTTGTAAATCAGTACCTGAAATCTTTCACTTTAACATGTTCTTCATCTTCACTCCTAGGAAAAAAAAAAATATAGTTTTACATTGCATATTTAATACTTGGCACCTCTTTCCTCCCACAACTTTCAGAAGATATAAAATGCTACAACTTTACTATGGCTCTGGCAAAAGCAAAGCCCCAAAAATTCCTGAAAGCAAAAGTCGTGTAGCAAGTGATGCACAACAGAAAGAGACCAAAGCACAGCTGGCAATATTCACAGCTGTTTGAACATATTATGGGGCTATTTCATAATTATGGGGCTATACAACATTATTGGAACGTTCAAATAACTTCAGTCTAAGCTCGACTTTACTTTTTTGATTTCAAATTTTACAAGGGAGCTCATCTATTCACATGGGGATTTCTCATATCTTCTTGTCAGATGATGAAATGAGCAACCCCTGCCTCGACTGGGCCTAAATTACAGTTTGAAAGGGAAAAAGTCTTCTTATTTGAGTGGTGCTTTTCATCTGCTCCCATCCTTAACCTCCACCCTACCACCCATCTGGTGAAGTCGGAAGCAGGGAGAAATGCCTTGGGAAGAAGTCCCAGGAACCCCGACCACTGGATGGATCTCCCCCTCCTGTTCATCACCTTGTGCTGTAAAAGCCCTGCCCTTGGATGAAGCTTTCCTGAAGGAACCACACAGCTTATCAAGGCAAGTGTGACACGTCCAAAAGCACTCCAAAGAGATGGAGTCAGGCATAAAAAGTACCTTTTCTGAGGATCCCCATCAGCTTCAGCCGTGTCCCTGCAGAAACACGACATCAAGTAAGCAAAATGTACTTTGGAGCACAACAGGATGACTGAAGAGACCCAAGGAAGCAAAGCCACAGAAGAATTTTAGTGGAAACCCCACTGGGTTCCTTTCAGCAAGAAAACTAGTTTTGAGGACCTAATTACTACTTCTTATAAACCAATACTTTGTCAATCAGTTTCTCGACTTGGACATGATTTTTTTTTAATCAGAGAAATCCAAACTTGAGGGAAACTCTACTGAATGGGTAAAAATCCACAAGTGCTACTGAAAAAGAATGGAGAGTTTAGTTTTCTCCCCCCAGAAACCAATTATTGCTGGAGGTTTCAGTGATCCACAAGACACACTTGAATCTCCAGTTCCCTCGACACCCACAGTATGGGTACGTTCTGTAGATCAATGGGATATACATGGAAGAAGCAGGGGGTTAAAGAGAATTGCTTTAATAAGCACAAACACATGTAAACTTCCTGCCCCCCACCTTTTTTAAAGATGGGTTTTGCACACTGGTTTGGAGATATTCGTAATGCATCAAATCTGCCTCGTGCCCCTCCCTTCTGCCTGATTAACACAGCTTTGAACAGATCACTTTTTTGGTCAAGTGGCATCTGTTTGGCAGCTACAAACCAGGAGAAAACAAGTATGAGCCACTTAAAAAGCCTGAGCACAACCAGGGGACAGTCCCCATTTTTAGGTCACAGGTCAGTCCCCACATTGAAGGCAGCGGCTGCTCTGGGCACTGAAGCAGCAGTTCCAGATTAAACAGCTTAATTAACAATCTGATTTCATGCTTGAAGGTAATATTCCAAAGTAATATTCCCAAGTGTGCCCTTGGGAGATTTCAAGCAGTTTAATAACTTGCCTTTAGCAGCACGCAAAGCAGAGGGGAAAAAAAGGGGAAAAGATGGGAAAAAGAAAAGGTAGGATTGAGAGACATCATCCAGACACTTCAGCCAGGATATGGCTTTATAGGATCCTGGGTTTAATAACTGGGGGCTGACAATGCACCTGGAAGAAAAGTGGAAAATGAAAGTTGGGCCACAGAGAGAGAAGGGATTTACTCACTGGTTGTCGGAATCGCTCCCTTTGCGCTTCCTGGGAATCTCAGGCACCGGAGCATTGAAAGGAGTGGTGGTGGCAGGCGTGGGGATGGGATTCATGAGGCTGGAGACTCCAGAGGCAACACAGGGGCTCCCATCTACCGGGAAATTCTCTGTGAACGGCAATAAAAGCTCAGTGTCCAGGAGGAGCCGCAGCAGCGTGGATCCATCTGGATTCCCAGCTGGACAGAAAGTGCTCTCTGTGTGTGGCTTCCAGGCCTCTGACACAGAAAACACTGCTCCAACCCCAGCAACCTCCCACAGTGCTGCAATGATCTCCTGAACCCCATCAACAGAAAACACACACACAAAATATATCAACTCCCCTCCTTAAATCCCCCCCAGCACCTCAGACATCCTGCTGCGCAACCCCAGGAGTTCACAGACCCAAAACACTGCGGCTCAAACTCAACTAAAGTTCAGAAATACAGAGGGATCCATGTTCTGAGATAAAATCCACAGTTACACAGGACATTTGCCATGGAAGCTGGAGGAGTTTTGAGGCAGGAACTCCTTTAGGTTTCACATGCTCGGGGCAGGTGAGAGACACAGAGAGGTCATTTCAGGAAGGGAGCATCTCCTACAGCTACAAGGGGGTAAAAAGGCCAAGGGGAGCACTTGGAAAATCCAACAGCAACTAAAAAATGGATGTTTTCTTGTTAGTTTCCTCCCTTTTTTTTTTTTTTTTTTTTTGCATCTGTGCTGTCTGTAAATGACAGGTCAAAACTGCAAGAAGAACGATACAAAGCACAGGGGGTTTTTAACCCTTAGGTGCAAACACATCTTGCACCATAAAAGTGACCTGCTAGGTTTTCATTTGCTGATGGAATATGACTGGAGAGTTAAAGGAATATAGGCTAATACTCCAGCAAACAGCTTGCCTGGTCTTCCACTAATCCTCTCTCTGTCAAGTCAGACGACACAAAGTCAGCCCCTGCTTTATTTTAGAAAGCTCTTTAACTCATTAACTCACACAGGAAGTCTCAAAAAAAAAAAAAAAAGGTGGAAACTCAAAGAACTCAAGAAATACCTGAAAAATAAGTAACAGCCTTTGTGCAACAGCAAGAAAACTTGGTTATTTCAGATATACATTATATTCAGTTTAGGGCTGTTCAAAAGATTAAAAGAAATGACATGATAAAAAAAGGTATTAAAAAAAGGACATGCTAAGTACTACAAGGGCACAAATGGTAGATATTGAAATACTTCTATGATTAATCTCCTCTTCCTAATAGTCTCTCATTTTATATTTCTGTTATTAACACAACTATAAACCCAACCACGGCGCCGATTCCAAAGGAAGTGTTTATTTAAGGGGAGCAGTTTTAACTCACCGAGGTCACAGCATCCTGTAATTATTAGATTAAGCTCCCGAAGTATAATCCTCCACGATGAATATTCATAAAGAGTACTTACTAAGCAGAGACCTACATGATTCCAAGACAGGAATGCCTCCAGCACAAGAGATCCTTCCGTCCTGGAACAAAGCAGGCCAGCCCAGACCCACTGACCTAAATACTGCTGTGCACACACGGCCAGCCTTTCTGGGCCACTGCCCTTCACAGGAACAAAATCCACTGCCTCTTGCACCGTTTTCCCAAGTTAGCCATCACACTGGCAGAATGACTGTTATTCTTTATATATGTGGTTTAAGATTTAAAAAAAAAAACAAAACAAACAAATCAACCCAAACCCTTCAAAAATAAACAGCACAACAGAAAACAGATAAAGAAATCAACTTGAAGTGTCAGAACTGCCAAGCAGAGTAGAAAAGTGGTCCTGGGGAATTTAGTACCTACCACTCACCGGAGCAAGAGGGGGGTAGAAACAGCTCCTAAGGCCAGGTCAGCTCTGAGAAGTCACTGAAGGTGATTTAAAATAATCTCTGAGGGCTCTCTGATAATTATCATTAAACCAGGTGATTCCAAGGTGCTCCTTCTCTCTCTCTCCCTGGAGAGGGTCAGCCTCATGGAGTCTGGGATTGAAAGCTTTCTTCTCCAGCTCTCTCACTTTGAGAGATGGATTATTTCCCTGGAAAATCATTTTTAATTCCTAGAAACACTTTAGGAGTTATTATCTACTTATTCAAGTTGAGATGTTGTGTTTTAGCACCCCAAGGGCTATAACTCACACCAGCCTGGTTTGCAAGCCCAATAAAACTCCAGCATGGAGAAATGACACTTTTATTACTGTTCATTCCATTGTTAATGCCCCTGGCACACTGACAACTGAAATTAATTGGCAAATGAATAGTCCCTCAAAGACAACTCCATTATGGTCTATGCTTGGCTCTCAGCACTAAGCACATCTATATTAAAAAGCTTATCTATATTAAAAATCAGACATCTTTTAAAAGCATGTTGGACACACTGGGACAGATGAAAACAATACAGGAAACCCCCCAGTGGAATCATTTTCTCTGTGAAAGAGCCAAGACCATCCAAGCAGTACAAACACAGCAGTACAAGTACACAAATAGTGAGTGTATCAGAAAAAAACCCACTATTATTTTAACCCTAACTGTAGTATATTTTAAACACTAATGTTAGTATATTTTGTAATCAGGCAAAGAAAGCATTTAAGAAGTGATTATCAATACACAAAGTTCTCATCATCTCAAAACACAAGATCCCACTCTCTTGGGTTTGTCTACAGGGAAAAGAAATAATAACTCCGGTGCCCGAGGGGTTGGCAAAGCAGTGAAGAAGTGCACATGAGGTGCGTGGAGCTGTGTTTGGGTGGGACACAGACACCCCAAACCAACACATCCCCGTGGCCAGCAAAGCCTCTGCCCAAGCCCGTGCAATGCTTACAGAAACACGGCTTGGGAGACTCCACGTTCTCCCATGAAGGTTTTTTCCAATCACATGCCACATTCCTAGCTGTTTGCTGCACCGAGAGTTTGCAGGTTTTCAGTTCCTAGGCAAACACAACCCTTAGACAAAGCTCATGGCCCAACTCCAGCAGCCAAAAAAGGGGAGGTTGATCTGAGCAAACAACCATGTCCACATCCAAAGTGGCCCTTCCAGCCCCTCTTGGAGGGAAGACACTTCCAGGGTGATTCATCCTGACCCAAAATAGATCCCTCCAGTTGGCTCCACGGAACACAACAGTTCTAGGGTGATTCATCTCCATCTAAAATAGATTCCTACAGTTGGTTCCATGAGATGCAGCCCAAGAGTATCCACCTTTTACATAAGGACCAAAGCAACTGGCTCAGACTTGGATATCCACACTTGGACATCAGAAGGGAGTGAGATGAATCCCACCCAAGGTGGCTCCAGAACCATCATGCAATCCTTAAAAATACACCAGCCCCAGGCTGCTATCACATGCAACAAGTTCAAGCCCAAGACAGTCTTTCAAAATTAGTGCCTTAATTAATGCACTATCATCTCATGATCCACTCACCACCCCCCCATGCAAGGTCACCTTTTCCTCCTCGTAGGTATCCTAAATTATTGCTTTAGTACCAAAACACTGACTTTTTGGAATCATCAGAAGGCAAGCATATAAGACACACAGAAGGATACAAGTCATGTATGTATTAATAAATTAATACAAAAGCTGTCAGTCAACCCTCACTGAGCCAGTTTAAAAAGCAGCATCCAAATCCAGTTATCAGGAGATGGCAGCAAAGTGGGCTTGAAATAAAATGTCAATGAATAAGCACAGTTATAAAACTTATGGTGACGCCCTTCACAGTGTTGGGATAAATGAGACTTTGAGAAATGGGTTTATTATGTGGTAATACCGGCATAAAATTTCCAAGAATAAGGACTTTTCAATCCAGCTCCCTATTTTGAAACACTTTTTGGCAGAAGGAAAGGAGGAGAAAGAAGCTGCTTTGAACTGAATTTTCTAAGATCACAGATGCCACAAACCATTAAAATGTGGATTTTCCAAAGGTATGTTCCTGGCACACATAAAAACCTTGAGCTGGAAATTTAAGCCCTGACAAGTTTAAAGAACTCAAAATTCTGTTGGAAGTGGCTGTGAAGTGGCACAGGAGGGTTGTGCAGTGTAAGGAGATAAGTTATTAAAATTGAAACGTGCTCACAGGAACTCCTGGGCTGCATCTGCAGTGGGAAATCAGTGGCAGAACAGCAGCAGGTCAGGGGGAAGCAGCTGGTGCAGAAGCCCCTGTTTCTAATTTGAAAGCAGTTCAGGGAGCTTACAGTAAATCACATTTACTCTGGTTCACTGGGCCAAAAATCCTCACAGTGCATGTGTGTTAAAGCTGCCTGAGAACCCCTGGTTCAGTCCCTGGGGCATGTGTGGGATGGGACTGCAGCAGCACCGACCCTGCAGCAACAAAAGTCGACTTTAGTTTCTCCTGAAAGGAGCCCAGCTCAGGGACACCAAAACTGCCCTGCAAGCCAAGCCAGGGAGCAGCAACTCACTGAGCCCTGTCAGAATGAACGGCCTCTTTTATTTTATTTTATTTGTTGTAATATATTAGATGGAGGGCTGGAGCAGCTCTGCTGGGAGGAAAAGCTGAAAGAGCTGGGATTGTTCAGCTGGAGAAGAGAAGCTTTGGGGGGACCTCACTGTGGCCTTCCAGGACCTGAAGGGAGCCCACAAGGAAGATGGAGAGAGACTATTTCCAAGGGCCTGCAGTGACAGGACATGGGGAACGGCTTCAAACTGACAGAGAACAGGTTTAGGTTGGATATCAGGGAGAAATCCTTCCCTGGGAGGGTGGGCAGGCCCTGGCACAGGTTGCCCAGAGAAGCTGTGGCTGCCCCATCCCTGGCAGTGTCCCAGGCCAGGTTGGATGGGGCTCTGAGCAACCTGGGCTGGTGGAAGGTGTCCCTATGGCAGGGGTTGGAACTGGATGATTTCTAAGGTCCCTTCCAACCCAAAGGATTCTGTGATTCCTTGTCTAGGACGACCTGAGCAATTCCAGATGGATATCCATCTACACATGGAGCACACAGAGCTATCGAGTTAAATAACTAGGTCATGGAAATTGCCTTATTTTATCATTTTTCCAAAATTATTTTAATGACTTCCTACTGCAGATTTTTACTAGAGAGGGACAAATCTATACTTGTAGCCACCATACACACAGTGCTGCAGGAGGAAAAGTTACAGGTGCTGTGACGTCCCTTTCCAGCTCCTGCAGATCTGAACTGCAGGAGAAGAAAACAAAGAACCATATTTTGGAAACAGGGCTGAAAGTTGTGTTTAGTATTATTTTTGAGTTCATTTATTTTAGACCTTTAAAGTAGGTCACGAAAAGCGCCTTCAGGCCGGTCACAGCAAGATCATTGCCCACAGCATCTCTGGTGGAAAGCTGGGCCAACAATTTTCACTGGAGTTCTGAAAACAGTGGAAATGTACAGTCTGAAGCAGCTTATTCTTCCCCAAACTTTGTAATGCAGGAGCAAGACACAGAGAATTCACAATCTCATGAACAACACCGTGCAGAGGATGAACTCTTATATGGTAAGTTGAAAAATGTTGAATATGCTTTTAGTGTCAGCAAATGAAAAGTTATAATATCCTGAATTATACATATTTAAATCAAACAATAGCAGAGGCAACTGATTACTCTCTGCTGCTGTTTTGACTTATTTTCATCGCTCAGCAGAGAATCAGTCAAGAGTAACAACTCCCCCCTTAAATAACACAGTTCCCTGACAGATTTCAAGCACCAAATATTTGGCCAAACCTGCTGTATTAAAAGCTATAATAACAAGACAGTAACCAGTTAAGGAAAAGACACTGCCCAAGGCCATGAAAGGGTGCCCTGCTTTCCCAGGCACTTTGGGGTTCACAGCAGGTAAAACCCACTGACAGCAATCGGGAGTCTCATCGCTGAATAAAAAACAACCCACAAACCCTCTCCAATCACGCACTCCTAAAGGAATGGTGAGTAGCTGTTTGCCTGCGAGTTTGGGAATCATCTCACTGTCAAATGTCCCGTTCAGAATTTGATTTTCCACGATGTGCAAATGGACCAACAGTAACGTGTCCAGCCAAGTGAAAAAACAAATGAATATATTAAGCAGCCAACCTTAGTGTGGGGACCTATTCCACAAACAATTCGGATAAAAGTCTCTTAAAAGCAAACAAACCCAAAACTTGTGTCTTCAAAATCCAGTCAAAGGACAGATATAAACATGGGGAGCTAAAAAAGCGAGGAGGGGTTTATTTCACAACAAAACACCGATTTTCCAATTCCCGTGTGTAAATGGAAACATCCATGCACCTGGGGTTTTCTTTAATTTATTTATTTCCTTTCCTTACAATATGTGCACGCTATAAACAATAAACTCTCGTTTCAGCAGTTCGACAGACTGCAAAAACACCCCGGAAAAACACCCCGCTCTGTTTTCAAACACTGCATTGTTTGCCACAACATTTTCACCCCAATATTTAAACAACCAAGCAGCAGAGACAGAAACACGTCAACTTGTTAGAGACAGCCGGGGTCCCCATAGCCATAAAAACACCAGCACAACACCCACAACCCAGCAGAGGTTTATGAAACACCACTACTGAGCCTAGAAGAGCTGGTGCTAACTAAACAGAACTGCAGGGCCGGCTTCAGAGGGAGTGGCTCGCTCCTGTTTCTCCAAACCCCGTCCAAAACACTCCTTTCCCCCGGCACAGGGGAAGCACCGAACTCCTCTCCAGGCAGGAGGAGCAGCTGCTGGTGGTGTTTTACAACCAGCCTGGGTTTTTTTAGTCCCAGAAACTTACGATTAAGAACAAGGAAGGAACATCAAACCCTGGTCACACACACACATACACACACACACACACACAGAGAAGCCAGAATCACTATACTTAAAATACTAAATTATGTTTACCTACCCAAAAAAAAAAAAAATCTCATACTAGAGTATTAGGAACGCAAAGGTAAGTGAAATTACGAACTACATCGCAAGTTAAAAACAAACCAAGGAGATCTTTAGTGCACATCACGTCGGTAGGATGGCAATAAACAGCACTGAGTGGCCATCACACAGGCGGGTGTCAGGGGAGGGTGCCGGGCTCTTTTCAGCGACAGGACGGGGAGCAGTGGCCATAAACTAAAACACAAGAAGTTCCACCTCAGCAATAGGAAGAACTTCTTTGCACTGAGGGTGGCAGAGCCCTGGAACAGCTGCCCTGGGAGGTCGTGGATCTCCCTCCCTGGAGGCATTCCGGCCCCACCTGGACGCGTCCCTGTGTCACCTGCCCCAGGTGACCCTGTCCCGGTGGACCGGATGGTGTGCAGAGGTCCCTTCCCACCGCATTCCCGGGATTCCGTGGTTTCCCCGTGAGCGCCCCGGGTGCCTCCACCTGGGCAGGAACTTGTGCGGGAGAGCAGCGCCCGGCGATAATCAAAACACAAACCCCCTCCGCGCCGGAGCGGCGCCGGCCACGAGCCCCAGAGTGCCCCGCACCGGCCCCACAACAACACCCGCCCGCGCCACATCACCGAGGGGGACGGACAGACAGACACACACGCGGACAGACAGACAGACACACCCCACCCACGGCACCCACGGCCGCCCCTCAGGCGGACCCCGCTCCTACCTTCCGCCGCCCGCCGCTCCTCGTCGGCGCCCTCGGCGCTCCCCGCTCCTGCCTCGGCCATGGCGGGCGGCCCCGTGCCCCGCTCCACAGCGCCCCCGGCACCGGCGGCATGCGGGGGGTGAGCCGAGGTGAGCCGAGGAGGAGCCGCCGGCCCGGGGACGCCTCAGGGGCCGCCCCGCCACGCCCCGCCCCCGGCCCCGCCTCAGCGCCCCGCCCCGCCCCGCGCGCCGCCTCTCGCGAGAGCTGGGCCCGGGCGGCGGGAACGCCGAGGGGGCAGCGGGAACGCTGAGGGGATACCGGGAACGCTGAGGGGACAGCGGGAACGCTGAGGGGACAGCGGGAACGCTGAGGGGATACCGGGAACGCCGAGGGGACACCGGGAACGCTGAGGGGATACCGGGAACGCTGAGGGGACAGCGGGAACGCTGAGGGGACACCGGGAAGGCCGAGGGGCCCTGGTGCTGCTGTCCCTGCCCTGGTGCTGCCGTCCCTGCCCTGGTGCTGCTGCTGCCACACCATTCCTGATCCAACCCAGGGGCCATTGGCCTCTTGCTCCCCTGGGCACACCCGGGCTCATGTCCAGCCGCTGTCACAGCACCCCCAGGGCCTTTCCCACCGGGCACTTTCCAGCCCCGCTGCCCCAGCCTGTAGCTGAGGGGGTGGTTGTGACCCAAGGGCAGGCCCAGCACTGGGTCTTGTTGAACCTCATCCCGTTGTCCTCAGCCCGTCGGTCCAGCCTGTCCAGATCCCTCATGTTGTCCACAAAAGCAGGTTTGTTACCAGGCGCGCAACAAAACAGTAATGACACAATCGAGCCAGACATCAGTGGTTTGAAAGTGTACAAAGACATTGCACCAAAGAACATCCTGACTTGAGATAATCTTGACATGCCCAAGTCAGGATCTTGGAATACTTTCGGTTGGCAGAGGCCTCTAGGAGTCATCCGGCACAGCAGGGACAGAACAGCCACACCTGTCAGTGAAAAGGAGCATAAAAATAGGGTTAAGCTTGAGGAGTGTATTGATTTCACTAAAGAAAATGTGACTAAACACACACAAAAGATCCACGCCATTTTAATAAAAGAGTATCATTTTCATATTTTCATTATGCTGAGAGCAAGCACATGTGTGTGAAACACCACTCACCTGTCCAGGTCAAGGGGATTTTCAAGCATGCCAAGGTTTAAGCCAAACCTGGGGGTTATAAAACTGATCTGGCAGAAGTAAATGGCTTGAAAGATCATTTCTCCTGAAAGGCTGTTTACTCCAACAGGGTGGTCACATGCAACAGCACAGTGAGTCTGGAGCTGTAGAAACAGTGCAGAGGGAACTCCAGTAATGTTTACAAGCATCTTACCACTGGTGATAAGACTACAGGTGGTTGTGGTTATTTATAAAATTACAAGAGGATGTTTACTGTTGACTCTCTTAACAAAAAAAAAGGTGTGTTTTTTTTCCCCCATCAATATTAAGGAAATTTTCAAGTCCTGCCAAAGATTTTGCTTGCTATACCTGAACAAACCCCTCCTGTGTGCAAACAAACTGTTTCTGTGTCTCTTTTCTCTGTGCAGGAAAGTTACTGTTTTGTCTTGGGAAAGCCAAGACCTTGAAATGGAAGCCTCCTTTAATCTTTGCTTTTCTGCTTCCATCCTTCAATCTAAACCAGCAATTCAGCATTGTCTTTATTTTAATTAAGTACAAATATCCGTGTCTGCCAAAGCGCTCCCCTCAGCTACCCGAAAAGAGGGAGCAGCAAGGTGCAGGTCAGCCTCTTCTCCCAGGTAACAAGAAAAAGGATGAGAGGGAAGTAAATCCTCATAAAATTCTGGGAGCCAAATCCATTTGAACACCTACAAATTTATTTATTTATTTATTTATTTATGGTGGAAAATGAGTAACTTGCCTGAGTTGGATAGAGCTGGGGAGAAAAACCTGAAACAAATGAGGTGTTTCCTTTGTAGCTTTCAGAGATTTAGGCAGCATTTACTTGTCTAAACTCTAAACTCTAATCTTGAGGAGGATTCCTGTTTCATCCTGCTAAAATACTCTCCTGCCCCAGTTTTGAAGGCAGGAGCTCCCTCCTCCAGGTTTGTGGACACCCAAATGTTGGGGAGATTTAGGAGTCCAAAAGTCTTTCAGAGACTCAGCAACCACAGAAAGTTGAAGATGTTATAAAGTCCAACGAGTTAAATATATAAATAGTTCCCCCAAACTGTTTCAACAAGCTTAGTAGCCTAACAGCTCTTAAATACACTCTCTCCATATGGCAACATTAATGAGGACATTTAAAATGTTTTTTTTTAATAAACTGACTCACTAGAAACAGAGCTACTGCCCCTCAGTCACGTTTCATTTCATATTTTTTAGTGCCACAATAGAAGAACTTGCAGCTCAACACAGAAGTTAATGACGTGTCCCCTGGCACTTAAATAACTCCTGTAACCTTCCAGCGCTGCCAAATCATTAACACAGGTTTGAGACATCATTTGTGACACTTGTTTCTTCTTCCCAGGTGATGGTTGGCCTGTTCACTGAGCGTTTCATCTGCCAGTAACTGGTGTTTGGAGCAGAGTTTGCCTCGAGTCTCCGAGCAATCTGCAGAGCAGGAGCCCAGTTTATGTAAGGCACTGAGTTTGAATAGGCCACACTTGATATTTTTGCCCCATTTTAAGGTGAGCACTTTCTCTCGAGTGGCTTTCAGCTATAAAACAGGGAACACAATGTTTTATGTAAGCCGGGGACAGCCTCTTTTTTTTTTTTTTTTCCCCAAACAACTTATACAACGCCTTGCTAAAGGGGTAAGAATAACAATCAGACCTCGGGGCTGTTAAATAATGGCCTGAGAGTGAGCAGGTAGAGGTGGCTGTGCTCTGCCTCCTGTTTGCTTTCCTGTCACATCCAGGTCGTAGCTGTTTCCCAGGAGCATCCCGAAGGGGCTGTGAGTTTTTGTCTTTGCTGGGGCCCAGGTCTCTCCGTGCACACCCATTCCAGAATCCAGGAGTGACTCTCCTCCTGTGAGGGAACCTGGGAGTCCCTCTCCATTATTAGGGACACTTGTGTTCCCTCACACACAAACACCCTTAGGTGACTGCCCAGGGGGACCCAGCCAACCTTTTTTCCTAAAAGTTAATAGCAGTGAACCGAAGTGACTCAGCACTGGAGAGACAAACCCATTTTTCATAACCTCCTGTCCCAGAACACAAGTGTTTGTGGTTTCCCCTCAGACACGAGGCTCAAAGGAAAGAACAACCCCTGTGCCCTGAATGCGGTGTGGTTTCATGGAGTATGTGTGAACAGGTTAGCTAGTTATCAGAGAGAGTATTTTTTAAAATCTATTTTAGGCCACTGTTTGCATTTTATTCTGCCTGAAGGCCGCTGAATTAATTTTAAGGGCACCACAAGCAATTTGCTGACTTACTTTGCCATAAATTCAGTGTCTGTGTATTAATAAAACCTGCTGGCATTTTCGAGCAAAAGTTCCTCCCAAAATCAGAATGCCTTTTGCTTCAAAAATTATAGAAAGAGCATAATCCTGCTGTCATCAGCCACTAACAAAAATAAGCCCTTGAAAGTTATTTCTGCTTGATAATTAGCACAGAAGCCCTTCAGAGAATTAAAAAACATCACCAAAAGATCAGGCTTCTGCTGGCACAATCCAGGGAGTGGAGTTGTATGGATTATGTTATTCAGTGAATCCAATGGGATTGGGATGGTGATACAGAGATCTGTGAATCATGGACAAATTCCTTGCATGATGAAACAAGTTGGACTGGAGAAGAGCATCCAAATCCTACTTGCTACTTAACATCTTCCAAAGTGCCTGCTTTACTGTGGGGTCCTGCTTGGTGAGGTTTGTACCCTCAAAGTAATTCCCTTGCTTGTAAATCTCTTGCCCAAAAGTGTCTCAATTTGATGGTGCCATTTCTGATTAAAAAAAAAAAATTAAAAAACAGCCTCCAGTTTTTAAATAGCCTTTTCATTCCTGGCAGAAACTGGTGCTTTCTGAATGCCTAATGAGAGCCTAATGTCTCTGAGAACCGGGGCTGCGGTTACAAATGTCTTCCCAAGGATAAATAAAGCTGGTTAGGAGGCCTGCTGGAATGAAAAGCAATTCAAATGTGCCCACGGTGCACAAGGGGCAGCCCCAAAGTTGAGATCAGGGAGAGCCCACCCAGTGCCCTTTGAGAAAAAGGCATTTAAATGAGTTGTACACTTTGCAAAGCTTCCTTGAGGCTTTAGTTTCCTTTTGTTTGTAAAAAAATAGGTAGTATTGCCCTCTTTAACAGCAGAAGTTTCTCACGTGGTGTTTGAAGCCAAAAGGCCTCCTCTTCACATTCTGCTTTTCAACCCACCGAGCTGCAGAGATTGGGAAATCTTTTTGTCTCCTTGGTAAAGAACACCAAGGCATGGCATCAGCAACCAGCTCCCTTGGGAGACCATCCTTGTTCCTGGTTTCTTTGGCCTGTAGATAGGGATCTGCTGCTGACGTCAGTGGGAGCTGGATGAGACCTCAAAGGCAGCTGCTGGACTGAAAATCTTGACACGAGTGTGATTTCACCCCCTCATGATCAAAAAGCCACTGAGGCTCTTATCTGATGGTTCATTAAATGGATATATTGAAGTTAGAATTAGAACAGGGAAATCAAGAGCCCAGGCCTGGCAGAGCTGTTGCAGTTTTTGAGGAAGTCTGAGCACTGGAGGGACGTGTGTTCAAATGACAGGATGGTTTGGGTTGGAAGGGACCTGAAAGACCATCTTGTTCCAACCCCCTGCCATGGGCAGGGACACCTCCCACTGTCCCAGATTGCTCAGAGCCCCATCCAACCTGGCCTGGGACACTGCCAGGGATGGGGCAGCCACAGCTTCTCTGGGCAACCTGTGCCAGGGCCTGCCCACCCTCCCAGGGAAGGATTTCTCCCTGATATCCAATCTAAACCTGCTCTCTGTCAGTTTGAAGCCATTCCCCATGTCCTGTCACTGCAGGCCCTTGGAAACAGTCTCTCTCCATCTGTTGTGTGGGCACAAATGAAACGAGGAGGGTGGGGGGAGGCTGGGCAGAGGCACCTGCAGGAGAAGGAGCTGCTCCCGATGGCAGTGAACTGCCTGGGGACAGCACTGGGGAGAGAACGTATTCCTGGTATTGCTGGAGGAGGGAGAAGCCGCAGCAGATGGCAGCTCACCAGAAACACGTTAGAGCAGCTGGTGCAGAAACAAGATGTGGCACTGAGGGTCGGTCCAAACTGTTCGAGGGGAGCTCTGGCTCCACTGGGAAATGAGAAATCTGCCTTCATTTCCCTCTTCAACACCAGGAGGTCCAGGCCTGTGTATCCCATTTCCCCCCAGAAAAGGGACCTTCACACTATCAAATAACCTGAGGAGGGTGGGAGGAGGAGGAGGAGGCAGAGATTCATCTCCTCTCCCACCCACTGCAGTGGTAACGTTACTACTGACAGAAGCCCATTGTGTGACACAGCCCCACCTGCCCCCAGCCCTCCCAGTGTCGGTGCAGCTGGGGCTGTTGGGATGGTGACAGCTCCCAGGCAGCCTGGAATTCCGTGCTGCAGGGCCTGGAGCGGCTGAGCCCAGCGTGGCTCACAGGGTTCCTGTGGAACCTGCTTTCATCTTGGGAGTTCAGCTGTGGGACAGGCATCTCAGAACCTCCGTGGCATTTCACATCTACACGTGAGAAGTCACTTTGCCTTAGAGAAATGCAATCCTCTGGATTGGAAAAGGCCTCTGAGATCATAGAGTCCAACTTTTGACTGATCACCACCTTATCAACTAGACCATGTCCAGTGTTTCCTCAAACAGCTCCAGGGATGGGGACTCCACCACCTCCCTGGACAGCCCATTCCAATGCCTGACCACCCTTTCCATTCACAAACACATTAAGCACTTCCCAAACTGCAAATATAGCCAGAGCTGGGAACCACTACTGTCCTCACTCCCAAGGCAGACTGTTTTGGATACTCCTCCCCTCTCTTTCCATTGGATGTTTGTCCACAAAAGCTCTTTAATTGTCCAAAGCATAATTGTTTTGCTTAGGTACAAGGCACACTCTGTACAAGAGGAAAGCAATTAAAGATGCACAGGTATTTTCAGTATGTTTTCTAAGCACTAAACTGTGATTTTAACAAAATTTACACGAGCTGAAGGCACTGCCTTTGTATTTGCCACTGAAGTGCTTTTTTTGAGGAACACTGAAGTGGGTGATGCAAGGAGATAAAGAACTAAGCTTGGATTTTCTCATGAGATATAGTTAAGGGAAGAAAAGGGTAATCTAATCCCATTAAAATAGAATTTGTAAGATTCTGTTAAAAACCATTTCCTGAGTAAACAGTGTCTCAATTCCTTCGGGGTCTCCCATCCTGGAAGAGAAATCCAGTATACCGGTGTGGGGAAAAAAAACCCCAAAGCAACAAACCAAACACACAACTTTACAAAAAGAATGCTACTTTTATTGTCAAATGCTGTAAAAAGCCTCATATAAATTTTTATAATGCTTTTCTATGTAACTTTCCCAACCACGACTAATGAAACAGTCCAGGAAAAACAGAGCAGTTGCCTTTTGGACTCCCAGGACGAGCTGCCGGCGCTGGCAGGACGAGGTGCAGCCTGTGGGACTGAACAGCTGAGAGCGCTTCCTAAGCATTCCCTGGCTAAACTGCAGCATTCCCTGCTGGCTGTGGCCAGGGGGCAGGAGACAGCACATCCCTGCCCTCGGGCGAACTCCCCCCTCCGGGGCTGTTTTCCATCCTGGATCCCACGGCTCGGGCCTCGAACACCTGACCTAGGAAAGTAACATCGTGTGACTCCCCAGCAAGGCAAATTCCACAGTGCAACGTTGGATTTGGGAATGCTGGCAGGTTTGCCTTTCTGAAACTCCTTCTGCAGCCCAGAGAAGCCCTGCTGATGTCCTGGACCTAAGGCCACTCGCTCCTGCTGGCTGGAGACCACGGCGTGCAAAGGCCCAGCTGCGGCTCCCGGTCCCCAGTTCCAGGGAATTCACATCCAGGCGCTTCACTTCCATCAACGCACTCCCGTTTTCCCTGCTGGAACAGGATAAGCTTCCCAGCAAAGCTCTGCTAACGAGTTGCATACAACAATTCCACGTGTTAACCAAAGTCTAACAAAAACGGACTCCCAGAAAATAAATTTGCACATGGTTGCAATCATCAAGCCATTTCAGGATCTTTGGTACTCCAAGAATAAGAAAAATAAATGGCACAGCGACAAACATCACCAAAGGAAAACACACAACCATCCAAAGGAATCAGACAAAAATAACAAAGGATATGTTGTACTTCCACTTTTTTTTTTGAAAGCCAGTGTACAATAACCTGCTGTTCTCTTTAACCCATTACAGTGTCACAGTTTCACTTTTTAAAAAAACCCAACTCCCTACCATCCTAAAAGCAGCAGTTAATATTGTTTAACTTGACTTGCTGATTAAAATAACGCTATGGGTTTAAAAAAAAATTAATTAAAAAAAAATCAACTACCACAATACAGGAGTTTATGCTAGATAGGCTGCAGGCTGTTTCCCTATGGATATAACTCCTATGTGAGCACTGATATGATTAATCATCTGCAGTTTTACATGAGTAGTTATTACCTTGAGTGTTACAAAGAGAAGGGTTGAGCTTTTGCCCGAGTTTGTAAACCGGTGAGTATGTACAGACACAGTTGTTTAATAGACAGCTTTAAATTAGGTGTGTATTCATCTGCCCTCCCCCAAACCCCACAGGAACAAAAGCAAACCACCAGATCACCAGTATCACTGAGCATGTGCAGTTTCCATGAAACTTGCCTTAGCAAGTCCAAGCAAAGACTTGTTTTTAGGTCATGTTAAAAGGGTCACTATGGGCTTTTGGAAGGTGGTGCTTGCAGGAATTCCAATTCCAAGCGCACACAGCGCCCCAGGAATGAGCCTGGAAATGAAACCCAAGCAGAACTGTTTTGAATAGCAGTGTCCTTTGGGGGCCAAGTTTCATCTCGGGGATTTTCTGCCTGAGCTCCTCTGCCTTGGATGGAAGGCCTGGGAAAAGGCATTTCCTTTCCTGGGAAGCCTGGGGAGCTGTTGGGGCACTGGCAGGGTGAAGTGGGGAGGGGGGATTTAACAGAGTCGCTGGTTTTGGACAGGCTTTGGATGGCCACGGGTTGAGGGTCACCACAGTGGGGAATTTCTGAGGGCCCCTGTCCCAGCAGCAGCCAGAGGGGCATGAACCAGCACAAGGGCTGGGGGAAAAGCTGGGACAGCACTCAGGCAGAGTTTAGCTTAGGCATGTTGGGATAAAAGCCTGAGTAAACTCTGGGCCCTGAGGCACCGGCTGCTCCTCCTGCAAGAGCTGGAGAGAGAAGCTTTGTTGTACAAAGGACAGACAGGAGATGCTTGAAGGGAGACAGAACACTGGAGGAAAGACATCACTGAAGCCCTGGAGAACCCAAGAGCTGGATCAGGGAAGGCTACCTGCACATCAGGAGGGCACTGATGCACAGAACTCTTACTGGTAAATGGTCTCTTAGGCAGCAGCAGAACCCCCCAGTGTGTTTTTCAAAGCATACAAGTCTTTCAGAACAGCTGATAGAGCAGTAAATATTTCTCTAATGGCTTTCCAACAGTCACTTCCATATTGCTGCCAAGGCCAGGGGTCTTTCCCATTGGATGCCCAAAGGTCCTGTGCTTCACCCTGAGGGGGCTGCAGAGGTTTTAGGTGCCTTTCACTGGTGCTCATCCCGTGGCCACATTAGAGGGAGACACTACCAGGAGACACTGTTGGGGACTCTGAGCCTCCTCGGACACTCCACTTCCTCTAGATGGGCAGAGGGTGCTCCAGGGCATTCTGGAAAGAAAAGGATTCCTTCTGCCTGGAACTTCTTAGGGGAGAGAAAAAAAAAAAAAGGAAAAAGCCCCACTTTGATCCCTTTTCTAGAGTCCATTTTGCACAGAGAGAGAAAAGGCTGCCTGAGTTCTGAGCAGCACTAAGAAGATAAGCCGTACAGCAGAGGCAGGAATGCAGTCCTGGAAACTCCCTCATCCCTTCAAAACTTTGTACATCAGAATATTTCCCTTCAACGTCTTGGTTGTTTCTATCCAGATTCCTCCTTTTAATCCTGCAGCTGCCAGCAGGCATCACCACCTTGAACAGCCACAGCCATCAGAAATGCTACTACTGACATCAGAAATGCCCCTACACAGACCACAGATGGCACTGCCACACACGGTGGGGAAAGGAAGGGACCGTGGGCTGATCAGTCCCAGAGTGGGAGGCAAAGGAGAGCAGAAGCAGGACACTGCTATTTAAAATAATTCCATGGGGTATCTGTAGCCCACAAATGGAAAACCCTCGAGCAGCTGCTCAGAGAAGTTGGCAAATGTGGGCAATTTTTTTTTTTAATTATTTTTTTTTTTATACTGCATATCTAAAGCCCAGCAAGTGAGCAGGCCAACAACAACGCTGCACCAAATGATATGTTTGCCCTCCTGGGGTGCATTAGATGGTTTACAGTACAAACAAAGCCACAGTACAGAGAGAGAGGCAGGATTAACCGTTATCCACACATAGGCAGTGCAGGAAAAAGGGATGCACGTTCCTTTTATTCCAGTACCTTTTGTATAATAAAGTTAACAAAAATATTCAAATATTTAAAAAAAAAAGAAAGAAAACAAACAAAAAAAGAAAACAAAACAAAACCCAAGCCAGCTGGCACTGCCAACTAATTCCTGTAGTAGTCTCAGAAACCCTAGTCCTGTAGGATTTCCGTGTGAAGTCGATGCGCACCAGAGTCAATGTGCTGCTAACAACGCCAAGCGGGTCTGGTGATGCACTACCTGAGGTTTGTGGTTTCAGTTCCCTCTGGGGCTTTCGGGTCCTGCCTCACAACTTCCCAGCTTTCATGTAGGAAGGGATGGAGCCACGCTGAGTGAGCCCTTCAAACCTCTTGTAGGTGTAGTTGAGGAAAACCCAGTCTTTGGATTTGTAGTCAGGCTCCGTCGTGTTTGGCACTGCAATTCACCGGCAGAAGCAAACACGTGGGGGGAAAAGAAACAACAAACAGTTCAAACCAGTGGTGCCTCTGAGAGGACTTCTCACAGATATAAACAGCCCTGAACTCTTTACTTCCCTCCCCAGCAGAAATTCCTGGACGAAATCCTGTGTTTAATCAGGTCAGTTTAATCAGGTCAATTTTGTCAATGGTCTGAGAAGTGGTCTCAGAAGAAAACTCTGCTTTGAGTTTTCTGAGCACTCTGAGTTTTCAACTTCAGAACAGAACTCTGAAGTTGAAAAGGGGGTTCTTTTGTATGTTTTGGGATTTTTTTTTATCGTGTCTACACACTGCACCAGGCTGCCAGACCTTGAGAGGAACCTCTCACACACCCACAGGAGACAGGATTACAAAACCCGTCACATTTACGATGCTCTGAGCGCAACAAACACATTTACACACCACAGACGAGACACAGCCAAGTTCTCCCAAGAGAATATTAAATCTCCAAGGACTTCTTCTCTGCTTAAAGCTTCAGCAATGCTTGCACAGCCTCATTTCTGTGCAGGCTGCCATCCTGCACGCTGACAGTCACTGGGCTTTGCATTTACCTCTCTGGCTGCTGCTTTTACACCTTTGTAACAATATTTCCAAGTCTGTATTTAGGGATCCACAAGTATAAAATCACTTCCAGTGAGTCTGAAGTGCCAAAACAACACAAGTGCTCCTGGCATTACCCAAAAATGGACTTAAACAGCTTTACTGAGGCGCTGGACATGAGTTGTTTTGCATTCAAAGGAGATTTTAATGCAAAGCTATCAGGGACAAACTTCCAAAAAAAAAAAAAAAAAAAAAAAAAAAAAAAAAAAAAAAAAAAAAAAAAAAAAAAAAAAAAAAAAAAAAAAAAAACCAAAAAAAACAAAACCACAAACCCAAACCCAGCTTTTGTATAATTCTTACGGATAATGTTTTACCAAAACCTGCAGGACAGGACAGTGTACTGCTTTCTGTGCTCACTGTCTGTGCCAACTGTTTTTACCAACTGACTGAACTCTGAAATTTTCTGGGCTTCTTTTATTTTCTACTCCAAAGTCCTAAGGAAGGAGAAGCTCTAAAGAGATCCCAGGTTTACAGTTATATTTCCAAGGAAATCTCTAGATGGGGGCTGAGTGTGAGGGCATCAGAAAAATGAATGCAAACAGCAAGCAAAGCTCCTGGGGAGAGCTTCTGGCACATTCCAGATGGAAACGTGGCAGTTCCAGCGACAGTCTCACCTGGCTGTAAAATATCGGACTCGGGGAATTCATCGAAGTTGGAAGTGTCATCAATGCTTTTGATTTCTATGGGGATTGCAGCTGGCCTTTCCCTGCAAGCAGAAATAGATGCCAGCACGGTGAAGAGCAGGAAAAGACACCCAGCTCCAGTTGTGTTTAACTGGGGTTTTACCCCCCTTTCATTCGGGTTCCCCTGGGCCCAGCAAGGTGTGGCTGACTCACCTGTTTCTGCCATTCTCTGCTTCCCTATCTAGCACTGGGATCTTCCTGGCAGGCTTGGGGAAAACATCGTTTTCCCATTAACTGGAAGAGCATTCCAGGCTTATCTGGCTCCCAGCTATCACTGCCATCACAGGCCCAGCCCACCCAGCCCAGCAGGATTTCACTTGCACTTGGAGCCATCAGATGTGCTGCTTTCCAATCCCAGTGCTCATCCAAGCACCTTCCCACTGCAGCTCCTGCCGCTCTCACCAGCATCTCCCATCCCGAACAGGTTGGCTCTGACACCTTCCTGCTTCAGCAGCTCCATAGTTAGGGAGCCCTGGAAAGACTTTTGAGGTGCTTTGGAAACTGCCCACGGGATCTGTCCCACGATTCCCACTGGCATTTCCAGCTGGGAACTCAGGCAGTTGTGATTGTTACAGTTACAATTAAACCCAGAGCAACCTGTGGCATCTCTGATCAGATCCACGAGTGTCAGCAAGGCCCGAACACCTTCGCTGTCACCCACCCACTGCCTGCAGCTGCCTTTCAAAATCAAAGATAAACTGGAGATAATCACCCTTGACATCACAGGACGTGAAATTCTTGCTTTCCTGGCTTTTATTCTCTCTCCAAGATGTGTGTGTGTATTACCTGATATGTCCCCAGTCTACTCCTTCAAAAAAGGGATGACTTTTTATTTCCTCTACTCCGTTGCTCCCAATTCTGTTTTCCGAGTCGGTACAAAACCTGAAAAAGGGGAAAAAAAATAAAGGGAATGTTACAATAAATACAACCAGGAGCAACAGCATCCTGCAGCAAGAGTTTCAGGAGGTTCTTTCAGGAAGTTGCATCCAGGAGAGATGAGAAACAGAGGCAGAATATTGCGAGTCCCAAAAGAGAAAGTTCCAGTGCCGACAACTTCCACCTTTTCTGAACCTTTGCATCCCAACTTTGGAGGTTTGTGAAAAGCTGCTGCCTGTTCCAGCCCTGTAAGATTCGTTTGGAATGGAGACTTAAATCCCTACTGCCAGGAGAGGGTGAGAATTCCAAAGCTTCACCCAGCCGTCCTTCACATGTGCTACAATTCTTTTCGTGCTGCCCTTTGCAGACCCTTCGAGGGGGGCAAACGGTGTCACAGTGACACAAAAAGGGAGCTCTGCAACGTGGTGTGAGCCCCACAAACAGAAAAGCTTGGGCTTGCCAAGCTTGGAGTCCTCTGGAGACCACTTGGAAATGGGAAACCCTTGGCAGCACGGGCAGGGTGGCTTCGACCTCATTTTAGTAGATTATCTCCAACTAAAGATGTTTGACCCTGATTTAAATCTTGCCATGTGTGGAGGCAAACTAATAAATGCCAGTAGTCGTTACATGAACAAATTCATGAGCAAGACATGCCAAAAAAACATACACTGAAATAATGAACCCCCCCCCAGCACAGCCAGGGTGGAGGAGGAAGAATTCCCTGGCAAAGAACTCGGGATGCTGACAACATGCAGGAAGGCTGAGCAGAGCACTGGAGAAACAGAGACTGAAAAAGCAATAAAACTCTTTTACACAATGATTTGAGCTGTTGGTACCACTGTAGCTGGATTCAGGATCACTGGTTTATTAGTTACACTTTTGTTTGTGCTGCTGAAGCATTGATTGAACAATAAAAAACAATACATTCAGTTTTGTGAAGTACATTCCCCCTTTCTGCCTGCAGCAAAACTGTGGAAGTTTCTAATATTAACTTGGAAAAGGAAAAAAGAAAAAAAAAAAAAAAATACCAGAGCCAAAACCCACATCCCCTCCCTAACACCTCAAAGCCTCCCAGGACAAGAGAGCATTTCTCTGCCTGACCCTGTCACCGAACCCCTCACAAAAACCTCCAAGCAAACTGATTAAAATGGATTAAAATCAGGAATTTTGGAAAAAGTGCACAAATCCAAAGCATCCAAAGATTTCTGCTCAGTGCATGCAATGGTGGTGAGCAGTCATTTCTTAGTCTCCTCTGGGAAGAGAAAAGGTGTGTGCTAATCCCTTTTTTTCTCCTTTTTTCCCTGCCTGCTCTGTTTCTCCTGATACCATGGTACAAATCAAGATGATTCCAGCTTATTCCTTCATGTGAAACCCATGGCAAAGGGGGGGAAAAATAAAATAATCCATCAAGGATGGTGACACAGAAGAAACCAACTGTCCCTCCAACATGAAACTTCCTTCCTGCAGAACAGCAACTGAACCTGGAAGGTGCCCCTGGCTGAGCAAGTGGGGCTTTTCTTACTGACCTCAGGATTAAATCCTTGGCTTTGTCAGAAATGGGCACCTCTGGAGGAAATACCAACGTCTCCTTCCAGTTCATGACTTTCCTGTAAGTCTCCTGAGGGGTTTCTGAGCAGAAAGGTGGATACCCTGCACAAATAAAGAGGAAATGAAGGAGCTTTTCCCAGAAGAGCCAAGTGACCCAAATCTCACGAGCCCCAAAAGCTTCCTCTTCTGAACCAATGGACAAGCGTTACCTTTGAACAGTTTTTTTCCAAGTTCTTTAACTTACCTATTAGCATTTCATACATGATCACTCCCAGAGACCACCAGTCACACAGCTTGTTGTAGCCAGTCTGCATGAACACCTCTGGTGCAATGTAGTCTGGGGTTCCAACAGTGGAATAGGCCTGAGGAGAACAAAACAGCAACAAAAAATGGAATAAACTCTTTAAAAGATCAGTATTACAGTTTTACACCTTGCAAAGCCTTTTCCTGGGCATTCACGTGTGTTTGGGCAAGAATGAATATGAGAATTTAGAGTAAGTAAAATCTCAATACTGAAAGAGTAAACATGGAGAACCTGAAAGTAAATGAGAATCATGCTCCTAAATGTGCTGAAATCATGGAATATTCCCACTGCAACAGGAGGAGGTTTCAGCCAGAGTTTTGGGCAGCTCTGCATTTTACTGAACAGAGCTGGGACACTTAGAGTTGAACCAATAGAAAACCAAAAAGGGGGCTCCTTTCCCAAAATGCTGATGCAAGTTGATTTTGGCCCTTTCTTCTCTCTGTTGGACTGGTCTCCCCACCCTCCCCAGCTCTGCCACATCTGTCTTGACTGACCTGGAGATGCAGTTTTTTCAGGGCTCTGATTCCAAGCAGGAATTGAGCCCCTGTGGGATTGCATGTCTTGTGAGGGAAGAGGAGACAACCCCAAAAAGCCCTTTGGGAAGAGAGCACTTCTTAAAAGGAGCATGCAAACTAAAAAATCCCAAAATGGGAAAATTGAAGGTGTTTTTTTTTTTTTTTTTGCACCTGCTGCTTGGGGGAAATCACAGACAGGGATGAAACTCTGCAATCCCAGACACAGAACACTTCCCTTTGGTTCACTGAATGCCAAAGCTCCCTTTATTAAGTGACCACTCTTCATTATAAAGCTGCTCCCAACACTCTAGTGCCAACACACTCCCAAAACTTTACTGAATGATTTATGTTTTGAAGGTTTGGGGCAAAAAAAACCCACCCAAATATTATTTAATGAACTCACCAGCTGTCGCCTGTTCTTCTTCCATGTTTCTGCTTTCCTCTTGGAGTTCATATTCTGAAATGCTAATTTGCAAACCAGTTATTAGATAATAAGTGAATTTGTGAGAATTAAGAGAAAGAAGATGGGTAAGATTTCGTTCTTAAAGTATAACTTTTGTATCTTTAGAGTCCTTTAGTCTGGAAACAAATATTCAGTGATCACTGAAACAAGAGGGAAATTGGAATAACTACTGCCCAATTCACATGAAACTCACGTAAGTAGGACACATTATCAGCAACTGTAAATTAGAACTTGCTAAAAGTTTTAGAGATTGATCCCAGATCAGCTTCTGAGAAGCTTCATGAGATTGTCACTGACTGCAGTTCTTTGGCACGAGGATCCCCTGCCCCTCCTGACAGAGCATTTCTGTAACTTCACTGACATTAAATGATTGTGATTACAGACACACCACATGAGGGATCCATATCTAACGTGCAGAAACAGGGGGACACCACAGAAATCCTCATTTCTTTCCTGTCCCAGGGAACGAGCTTTTCCAGTTTTCCAAGGAAAGGCCAAGTCAGCCTGCCCAGTCTTGCAGAAACCCATGTGCCATGTGCAGCTGCAGCTCCCAGCTATTGACAGGCTGAACTGGGGCAGCTCATACTCACAGAAGTCACTTGGTGGGTTGTGTGTAAGGTTCCTGTAGAACTCTGTCCTGTGAGCTTTCTTTAGGCCTGTGCAGAGCCCAAAATCAGACAGCTTTACATGACCCTAAAAAAAAAAAAATGATAAATAATCAGAGAATATGAAAACATTCTTAAGAAAGGCAGTGCTTGGGGAAAAAAAAAAAGGTTTTAATAACTGCACACACTTTCACAGGACAAGCAGGCAAATAAAGGCTGAACCTTGGGGGTACTGGCAGAGTGGGGGTTCTCTCCAACAGGTTATTTTTCCCCCCAAAATGGTCATATCTACAATTTTGCAATAGCTGAGGGCAGCTACTTTGCCTGGTTTTGTTTTAAACTGAATACCCCTGTGACTGAGAAAAGGCTCCAGGACAAAATTCCTGTGGCCTTGTTTTGCTTTAATCAGGTTTCCAGACATCAGTGCTGGCTGGAACCCCTCAAAGCTGACAGCCTTGTGTGGGTTGTGGTGATGGTTGGGCTGGATGGTCTCAGAGCTCTTTTCCAACCTCAGCAATTCTGTGGTGATTAACTGGGTTCACTTTATGGTCAGTCTGAGAGTGCTGTGAGGGGGACTAAAATCAGAGAACTGTAAGAATTCAACTGATTGTGCTCCAGTTACTTCAAGGACAGCAAGTGGATCACTTCTTAATGAATATGAGCATCTAGACACCACAAGTGGGTGGTGTCTTCTCCCTTAAAAGCCTCGCTCTGTAAGGCTTCCCAACAAAACCCAAGGGGGCTTTGGTTTTGTTTAAGCACACAGGGCAAGTGCAGTGCCCATTTCGTGCCAGTTGAAGTCACAGAGGTGGCACTCCAGGCTCCCACCGAGCGGCACTGTGACCTACACACCGGGATCCTGGAAGTTCACCGTGCTCAGGACATGCCTTGGCATCCAGCAGAAGGTTGTCTGGCTTAATATCCCTGTGGATAAATCCCAGCTGGTGAATGGCATCTATGGCCAGCACGGTCTCAGAGATGTAGAACTGCGTCTCCTCCTCTGACAAGGTGTCCTTCTTCATCAGCAAGGTCATCATGTCACCTGAGCAGAGAGAGGGAAAACCCAGCTCAGAACCAGAACATTTCCATCACCAGACTCCGAGAAACCCCAGCAGAATCCAAATTTAACCTTGGAACTGGCCCTACTGCTACTAATTATAAAACTGTGACTGCAAAGACCTACAAACCCAACTGACTTTTTCAGGAAAAAGGATGTGAAGCTGCTGAAAGTCCCAAACAGGGATTTTAATTGGACAGCCCAGGAAAACACAGTGAATTTTCACACACGTTACACTTATTGCACAGGGGCTTTTTCCTCATTTCTTTTTACTGTTAATAACTCCAGCAGTAAGAAGGAAAATTATTTAACTCATGTCTACTTAACCTCCCTTTATAACCTTTCCCCTTCCCCTAAAAATCAGGAATGGTCACACTCCTGCAACTTCATTTAACCACAGAGTTCAGAAGAAGTGCCTGTACCACCCAAAGGCACAGCTCACAGCTCACCTCCAGGCAAGAACTCCATGATCAGGTAAAGATTCCTTTTATCCTGAAAGCTGTAGAACATTTTCACTACCCAGGCTCCATCTGCTTCAACCAAAATATCTCTTTCTGCTCGGATGTGGGCCACCTGAAATTTTGTTTTAAATTCCTGTTATTAGAGTACAATGAAATATTTCAACATAATTGTATATTCCTAGCCCTGTAAAATATTTTTCAAGATGTTTAGCAAAAAAGCCCTTATTTTCATGTGCTTTTCCTACTGATTTGTCATGATTTTTTTACTAGAGCCTACAAAGAGTCCCCTAGAAACCCACAGAAGTTAGTGTTGAAAATAGCAGTTCACACCACTTTGCAAAAGAAATCTCTAGAAACACAACTTATCACGCTGGTTTTGTTTGTTAGAAAGAACAGACAAAGCTGGTGGAAAAGACGGAAGTGTTTCTCTAGTGAAACACAAGGCAAATGATGGATAAGGTTTGGACTAAAGTTTAAAAAAAGTCCTTTTTTTTTTTTGATCTGCCTTTTCACTTGAGAAATCCATCCTTGATTTCTTTGCTGAAGTACTTGCTGTGTCCTCACAGTGAATTTGGAGCTAAAAAAGTCAAAGCAAACCCCAAACCAACCAACCAAAAAAAGCAAAGCAAATTAAGATAACAAGACAAAACCCACCTAAAAATGCAAAACAAAGGAAAACAAAGTCAACGAAACACCTGTTGGTGTCTCACCATTAAAAGAGTTTTTACTGTGGCACAGGATCATTTCTCAAGAAACACTTCCCTTGAAATGCAGTTTTACAGATTCACTGCTATAAGGTCCATGTTGATAAAGGGAGAAAATAAAAATAGAGTCTTTGTCACTATTCCAAAATTGGTTGTAAATCAAATATTTTTTAAATGCTGTTCCATGACCTTATTTCCTAATTTCTGCTTCTTTTGTGCTGTGCTGGCAACTCCACCGTTTCAAAGATGGCAAATACTTTCTGGACGGGCTAAGTCTGGAATTTGGGGGATTTGGACACCACAAACCTGCTCCTTCTCCAGCATATCTGCCTTTCTTAGGATCTTCATTGCATAAATATGCCCCGTGTCCTTCTTCTGAACCAGGCGTACCTGTGAGGAGAACAAGCCAGTTTAGCCTTCCCTGCCCCAGGAACCACCTCCTGGCAGGGAATTCTCCAAACTGCCAGGCACGGACGAGTTCTAATTAATTAACTGATCACCCGATTCCTCCCCCTCAGAGAGCTGCACAAACAGCTCCCCTTCTGCAAAGGAACTCCCCACCTGGAGCTTTTCATGCTGTGATTCAAACATTTCAGTGCCACAAACCTCCCCAAACGCTCCTCTTCCTATGACTTTCAGGGACTCAAAGTCATCCAGGCCGAGTCTGGTCCTCTTCAGCCTCAGGAACTCGGTTTCCTTGCGGGCGTGCTGGGACCTGCGCAGCTTTTTCTGAGGAGACAACGCCAATTCCTAAGTCCCTTGGCAGCAGAAACCCGAGCTATGCCATCTCCCTTCTCTCCGTGGAATCCCAGCGGGAGAGGGAAATGTGAAAAAGAGCGGTGTTTGTGGTGCTCGGGCACCTGCAGGGCCGTGCCTGGAGATGGCACCGCTTAAAGCCACAAGGTGGCATCGCACTCCCACATTCCTTCTTCCCGCTTCCCAGCTCCCAAAAACCTCAGCAACGGCCCAGCCGCTCTTCCTGCTTATTTCCCTGCCTATCCTGAGGGCAGACAGGGTGCAATGGACCTGGAAAAAACAACTTAGAGACCACAGCTCTGCGAGATAGCAACCAGAGATCCCTCCTCATCCTCATCCTCATCCAAACGGAGCAAAGCTGGGCCAGTTCGTTGTCTAAATCAAGGAAAAACCTTCAGCATTTTGCTTTCTAAACACATCCCACCTCTTTTTTTCCTTGCCAAACGTAATAGCAAACAATTTCAATCTTTGAAAAACATGCTGTGGCCACGTGTCATGAGAACTAAGGGTGGCATGAAAAGCCTTAGCCAGCTCTAGGAGGGATGATTCAAGCACATTCCCAGCTTTCCCTAATAAACAGGGGTTTTTTTTAGAGGGGCAATACTGAATTACAAAATCAAACTTGCTGTCTTGCTGGGTGATGTTTCTGTAGGCTCCTCAAATCCTATTTTTGAAGCAGTTTTTAAGGTGATATAAGTAGTATTTTTTACCTCCTCATCTGCAAGGCCTTCCTCTTCCATAGCCACTTCCAGCTTCTTCTGCCTGCCAGGGGGAGAAACAGGGGATGGTTTATTAAAGCCCAAACAGTGCAGCAAGACAACACCTTTGCTTCACATATTCCAGCCACTGAAGAATTTGCCTCAGATGGAAATGGGAAGGCTCACAGCCCACTCCACCCAGTTACTCACTTGTTTGCGCCCAAAAGCTGTGGAAAGCAGAGAAGCAAATTTAAGCACATACTTCTGGATTTGCAGAATTGGGCATTAAATATATAATAATCACTCGACTTACATTTCTTCACGTCTCCTGAATTAAGGCTGGTTTTCTCAGTTAGGGTTACAAAGCAGAATAAAAATGGTTTTTTCACGGTTTCACAGTCTCAGCTCTACCTCCAGCACCTCCAGCTTTCAGCCCCACCAGTCCAAGGCTCTTCCAACTGGGGCCACGCCAGGCTGGGAGGCTCCGAGTGGGGAGCAAAGCCTGGGAATCCCCCCCAGCTGGCAGGGGGTCAGCACATGGCAATGTGGCTGTTGGACCCCTCTTTTTCCACCCTCAGGATGTTTCTTGCCAGCTGTCGGGGGGCAGCTTTCCAAAGGTTGGTTATCCACTGGTAGCAGCCAAGACTTGGAAGGCTGGTGGTGTCTCTCTGCACTTGGGGAAGTACAGCAGCATCCCCCAAATCAAAGGCCCTCAGCAGACAGTCTGTTCTCCCAACTGGAGCGAACCCCACTCCATGGAATAATGAGGAAATGTGATGGAGAGAAGCCCTGCTGCTTGAGTGAAACCCCCCCAGTTAAAACCAGAGGGCCAGGGAGCGATAATGTCACACTCCAATGCCAACCTAAGACACCACCCTCAGCACAGTCACACGCCTGGGGCTCTGACACTTCGCTCGAGGGGCACTGCAGGGCCAGGACAGGCTCTCAGAGCAGCTCAGGCAGCGCTGACCAACACTCTGGAATCTCCCCCGGGTGGAAGGACAAGCCCCCCCAGAGGCAGGAGGAGCTGCAGAGGGGTGAGAGGGAGCAGGGGCAGTACCTGGTCTCCCTCTCCTCGTGCTGGATGATGAGGTTGCTGTAGAAGTTCTCCAGGGTGAGTTTGGCCACAGTGACTCTCTCCCGGGTGTGGTTGCTCATGGGAAAGGATGTTGTGGTCCCTGCAGTCATCGCCATGGTAACATGCACTGGAACACAGCGTGGCAAACCATTACTCACTCCAGGAAAAGAAAAACCCAAACCAGCCCTCTTTCCCACTCTCCATCTCCAAATTCTCGGGTAAGCTTGTCCACAAATAAGGAAAACGTCCCTCTGGAAGATCTGAGCCCAGCCTGGGGGAAGGAAAAGGCAGCACAGCACAGAAAGGAAAAAGGGAAGGTGAGAGGAAGACCCCACAGCTGGGCATGTCCCAACCCTCTGACAATTCCAGGAGCTACAAAAAGACCAGGAGAAAATGAAAAAGGAAATGGATAAAACCCCTAATCCCAATCCAGAGGAGAAGCTGTTTCAAGGATAGAAACCAACTCCCAATACCTCTGAATTTTAGAGCTGCTCAACAAAGTTACATGTGGATTTCTAGAAGTCATCACATCAAAATACTGGAATTGCTGTATTTCAAGTGGAAAAATTCTGTTGCTGGTTTTTTTTTTGGGTGGTTGGGTGTTATAAATCAAGAACCAACCACCAAGAATAGAAAAACCCTTCCCCCCCACAAGGCCATTCCTCTTGTTTCCTTTCCAGCCCACCTCTGTTCCTTACAGAGCTCCCCGTGTTTGGATTTTCCAAAAAATCAGAGGGGACTGTCCTTAGGCAGCTGTAAATATGTTACCCACGTAGATCAAGCACTTACAGCTTCTGGCATGTGGTCACTGGGCACTTAAAAACTGGGGAGAAAGAAAGAGGAAAGAAGAAAGGCTGCTCTCCTCTGGAGCTTTCATCCTGATCCCCAAAAACTCGGCTGCTGGAAGCCACTCCCCCTTGCCCTGGCCCTCCAGGCCTTTGGAAATGGTCTCTCTCCATCCTCCTGGTGGGCTCCCTGCTGGTTATTTACATAATCCTTCCACTTCACCAGGGGACTGGGAGGCAGCCAAAGCCCGAATTAGGATTAGGATGTCCAAGCAGACCCTCAGACCTGCTAAAGCGAACCAATTCCAAGTTTCACACAGAAGGAAACTCGCCCGTCCCCAGCAGGACAGGAGGATTCCTCAACTCTGCTCCACACTGGTTTTTGGTTTGATTCTGCCTGTCACCCTCTGCAAGGACAGCATTTTACCCTCCCCCCGTGACAACAGGATATTTGTTGCTGGAGATGCAGCTGCTGTGTCACAAACACAGGCATTTTATTATCATGGAGATGTTATTTTAGCTGTGTGTGTTGAAGACACCAGAGTTCTGAGAATAAAAATATACATCTCTCTATATAGATACCCACAGGCTTTAATGGCATTGCAGCTGCTTCAAAATGATGTCAACATTTCTATTTTTTTTAATCAATCTTTTTAATCAATCTTTTATACCCTTCAGTCTTCCACTAAAGAAAGATGAGACCTGTCAATTCTTAATAGTCTTGACTAAAAATTAAGGGGGTCCACTCTTCACAGAACCCATGCTGGATACGGCTCCAAGAGCTGGGAGAATTTTGCACTGTTCTCCCTGTTGTTTGGACAGTTTGACACTTCCCCCCCCCACCCTTGATAGGTGGGAAAATACAAATATAAACATAAAAGAGATGGATGAGAGCAAAGCTGGCACCGTGTTGGCATACCCAGATCAAACAGAGCAAACTGTGATTAAGTTATTTCAAGAAACAACCTAATAAGGTAAAAACCTGCCTTCTGATAATTTTGGAGCATCGGGATGGAGCAGCCCTAAGCCAGGCTTGGAATGGATTAACCTTAAGGTCCAACTGGCACACTCCAGCACCGGATACTTCTCCTTTGCATGCCCCTTGTTCCCGGGAGGATAAAACAACGCTGCAGTTTGATTTCCTGGTGATTTGTCTGCTCCTGCAAACGCTCACAAATTCAGGCACTGCCGAGTCAAAGTCACCGGGTTTTATTTGTTTGGTTTATGTTTGATTCCTGTAAAAAAGGAAATCCCAACTGCAGCACTGGCACACCATGTTATCCACCTTGGGGCTGCCCCTCACAGGAGGAAAACACAGAGGAGTGTCCCCCGTTATTTCTGCCACTGTGGAAAAATAAAAAACAAGCCAAAACCACCACCACCACAACAACAAACAAACTGTGAAACCAAGAAGCGTCCTAAACTCTCCAGATTCCCCAAAATAAGAAGGAAAGAGCACAGACCTGGCAAGGTATCCCGCAAAATCCTGTGGGATTTCTCGCAGCCGAGGAAACCTCTTCAGGTTTTTCCTCCTGCCTCTCTGCTTCCACTCAGGAGCCCCCCAAAACAAGGCACAAATCCACATCCCAAAGTGGGAGTAACCAAGCACAGCCCTTAAACACGACCTTTATAAACAAACGATGCCGGAGGGGACGGGGGCAGGAAGGAAGAAGCTTCAAAATAGGACCTTTTATTGACTGCACAGAGCCTGGACTGACCTCACCACATTACCGGGAATGCTTGGAAAATGTGCCACCCAGAGTTCTTGGAAATGCCCTCAAAAGCCTCCTGAGTTCACCCAAACCCATGGCACTTGCATAATGGAACCATCGCACTCCTGCTGCATCACTGGCCCACCAGCCACACTCGGCCACAACTCCTCCGGCTGACAAGGATCCCAGACCTTTCTTTCCGAAGGGCTGGGAATGTGCAGGAGAAAGACATCAAAGGGATCTAACAGGCAGGAGACACTGGGAAGGCACAGCCCTCGGGACAAGGCTGGGAGCTGCCAGGAGCAGGGATTCCATATGTGCTCCTGGCCTGGAAACACAGCCAGAGCCTCCTGCAGGGATGGCTCAACTCCCAGCCTGAGCCTTTCTCCTCCTGCCTGCAGAGAGCACCTACGGCATGGGAATGAGGAGCTGGGGATGGGCAGCAGCCAGGGAGAGGTGGGACAGCAGCACAGAGAAGGCAGGAGAGCAAGGATGTTCCTGAAGGATGAGGGGGAGCAGGGAACAACAGCCAAATGCTACTGGAGCCTTCCAGAGACTCCCCCGAGCAAGGCTCTCCTGATCCACCACAGAACAGCCCAGTTGGAAGGGTCCTCCCCTTTCTGGTAAAAGAATGTTGCCTAATTGACCTTTTTATTCCCAGACCATTCCTGAGTGGGAAGCAGAGAAAGGCCAAGCAGCATTTACTCCAGTTTCAGTCTGCATCCCTGTTTGTCACAACAGCTCCAAGCCAAACTCTCCGTTTTCCCAACAGAGTCTCCACATTTAAGATCCCCCCACCCCCAGACTCTGCCACACCACTGGTAGCTCAAAGCTTATGTGCTCTCGGGGGCACTTCTTGGCAGCTCCCACAGCCTGTCATTAATGGTTTCCTCTGATTTCCTTGGATTAAGACTCGGGTTAATGAGAGCAAAGCCACAGAGGCTTCCAATCCCACCCGCTCCAAAGTGGAGAGATGGAAGAAATCAAAGCCCGTGGAGAACTGATCTCCCCTGAAACACAGTGGGATCCCTTCCCGATCCCATGAGAAGACAGAATCCATTGTTTTTGAAGCCATGTGTGCAGCCTAATTACACCACAGCCCTGGAATAAACTGACTCTGGACTCTGGGCAGATTTCAGTCTGGGAGCAAACCCCACAGAGAGAAAAGCACCTTTATCCCCCCACGAAATGAGGAAGTCGCTGGGTCTCCCATTTGGATTTAAAATGGCAAGCTGCACGTCCAGCAGGACAGGGAACACCATTCCTTCTCCAGAATAACCCCATCAACTCACAGAAGGGCTGACAAGAATTTTCATTCACCCACCCAAGCACAGCCCTAAAGCTCAGCAGTCAGGAAGCTGCTACAGTAAAAAGGGTAAAACTGCAAAGTTCATGAAGTTCCCATTTAAATTCCGAGGGAATTTGGCTCTTCAGTGAAAGCCTCTGGATAAAGCAGGCACCAAAACATACTCGTGCCTTTGAAAACTCCCTTTTTTTCCCCAGCATGACACTGAACCTGCCCCTGAAATGAAGCACAAACGTGGCATTTCTCAAGGAATAGAAGGTGAAGCAGAAAGGAGAGAGGCTTTTGGTGCCAGACCAGTTCCAAAGGAAACAGAGAGCTCAGCAAAGTGGTACCTTCAGAAACTCCAGTTATCACTCACTGCTGGGGCTCTGCTGGGGGAGAAGTGAGAGCTGCCTGGCTCCTTCCAGACCACACAGCACAGCAGCTCTCCAGTCCAGGCACTAACCCCACTGCTGACAAGGATTAGATTTAGGAATGGAAGTGCTGTCTAG